AATCAATAATCGATACTTAACTGTCGTTAAAATAGCGAAAATATTCATTTAGACATCTATAAAAAACAAAATAATTGAGCAAAGAATATCCTTTTCGATAATTTCCTCTTCTGGCTCTGCAATTATATATATATATGTTTATATACATAGAATATTTTAGAATAGTAGTCAATAACAATATTAGTGTTTTTTTTAAATAGTATCGATTTGTAAAGTAAGATCAATGGAATTGCTCGAAATATTACCAATAACAAAACTTATCATTGTGTGTAAACTATTGAAATATAATTATGCTTTATTTAATGGAATTACAGTTCACTAAAAATGCATAAATAATAATAATAATAATGATTATGTAATAGCAAATAGAATACCAACTAAAATTAAGGAAATTTCTACAAAACATTGAGGATTATTAGAACCTAGATGGCCAAGGTAAGGACAATGTTTGAACTAGCTTCCTTTGGATGCATAAATTGGGTTTCTTATTGTGGATTCCAATGGCCTACGGAGTACGTAGTCGACGAACTCTTAAGGCGAAGCTAAGATATGTTGGTGTGCGGTAAATGACTTTTCAAGTCTGCTTAACGTCAATCTTGTGTTCTGTATCCACAAGATGAGATAGAATAGCGCTACGAATGGATTTTGTTTGTCCTTTACTTAACCACTCAGGGTGATGTTCGGAAATCCGACGATAAACACGCCTGCTTGTACGGACTATGTAACTGGCTCCACTGGAGCAGTTAAACTGGTAAATTCACATGAAAGAGGCGAAATTAGGCAAATGAAACTAGTTCAGACATTGTCCTTACCTTGGTCATCTAGGTTCTAATAATCCTCAATTTTTTGAAGAAATTTCCTTAATTTTAGTTGATATTCTATTTGCTATTACATTATCATTATTATTATTATAATTTATGCATCTTTAGTGAACTGTAATTCCGTTAATCTTACTTTGCAAATCGATATTATTTAAAAAACACTAATACCGTTATTGACTATTATTCTAGAATATTCTGTGTATATAAGCACATATATAATTGTAGAGCCCGAAGAGGAAATTATCGAAAAGGATATTCTTTGCTCAATTATTTTGTGTTTTATAGATGTCGTTAAAATGACTAAATTTTGCACCTACTCTTACCCACTGTTACATTCAGAACTGAGTATTTGGCTTAGTACTTCGTTTGATAACGAAAAATAACTGTTATTTGAAATCATTCTTATGAAAGTTATAAAAGTATCTGCAATTTAAGTGTGGTAACAGATTCAGCATATTTTTGAGTTTAAATTCAGAAGTAAACAAAGAGCACCGCAATTGTGTTTTATTTTTCCTTCACGTTCCCAGTGGAACATAGGGCTTCAGGCTAGAGGCTTGAAGTTTCTGTAGCAGAGTTGATTTTTACGGGATGGGGTTGCTAGCCTCATGCCCAACCTTTCCTCTTTACCAGACTTATTACTGGCTTAGTGAGGTAAAGGAGTGCGTCGGCCGGGAATCGAACCCCGGACCATGTGCATAGTCTACGAGCGTCCTAACCGCTGTGCCACCGACGCTGGGTGTATACACATTTATTATTTTGGTGTAGGCGACTGACATTAGCTGGAGAATTGCTTAACACTAAGAAGTATTACTGGACAGCTGTTTCGTCTTGACTTCATATCTATGTGGTTCAAAGACTTGAGGTGTCACCACCAAAAGCATTTCCAACAGACTGCTGCCTCCACGATGAGAAAATCAGATGACCAGAAAGGATTAGACAAAAGGAACTCTGACAATGAAACAACCAGGAACCTCTTGTCCTACAAATATATGCCCAAAGAAATTAAGAAATGGGCTGGCCATACCACTACTGAACAGACCGCTGAATGACGTCGAGAATAGGAAACGACAAGTTGGGTGTCCAAGGGTGACATGAAGGAGGGGTAAGAACTTATGGGCGATAGATCGTGCAACCAGCTCATGAGGGGGCTAGGGAGAACCGAGTGGAATAGAGATGTGCCGTTAAAGCCCCATGTTCCATTTGGAACCCTAGAGAATAATAATAAATATGAAAGTACAAGTACAAACCATTGTGTTGTCATTAATGCAGCTTAGAACAGGAATTCCACTAGGCAAATTGCAATTGCTTCGCTCTATGTCATTTTAGTCAAGTGAGGTTCTATTTGAACTACTAATAGTTTATGTAGACAATTAGTCTGTCAATAACACTATCAGGTAATACATTGCAGTATATAGCGAATTACTCGATAAATGGAGATCAATTGAACGCTTTCGAATCGACCAATTATAAGAGGTAATTTTAAGGGTGAAATGATAGTTTACGTGAAGTGCTTTCAAATTATGCGAATGACAAAAATTCAATTGTGTGTAGATAAATTTAATGTCTACATTAAAAAATAATCCAACAGACTTTATTTGCTGAATTTTACTGGCAACCATTGGGAATAGCTAGAACACATGAAAAGGCGGACATGAAGTGAGCAGCTTACTGATGCTAATTCCGAATGACATACATTCTCATCTCAGTAGAAATACATGCCTTTTGCAGGTAATTATTAACCTCCTTCCTAATTTCCTACATGATTTTGCAGTTAAGTAAATCATACCAGTTTTTTCAAGACAGACAAGCTAATTTAATGACTTAATAGGTTGTTTTCTATATTTAGAAAAGCTTCAAGTAAGCAAAATCTAAGTATCTCAGAGCTGATATAGAAATCCTTGACCAATGCGCAATATAGCACGGCGTAACTAGCTACTCTATATTCATTTTAAAGAAAACAAAAAAAAACTGTTTCTTAGCTATGCGTGAAATACTTTGCAAACCACTTGTTTTCGTCTATCAGATGAACACTTGGAGTGCCATCAAGTTGCTTTCTGTTCAGGTGGCACTGTAACTAAGGATGAGAGAAACCAATTATAGAATTCTTACCTATGTAATGAAAAGTACACTTACAGGAAAAACCTAATCACCATGAGTAGAAACCTAAAATGATTAGTCGACTAAAAATTGAAGTAATTTTGAAGTGTCTAACCATACCTACTAACTAATTTTGGTATGATATTTTCACACGACTGATAGATTAAGCATTACGCCTTTATTCGATTGATTAGTCTAAGGGAAATGCATTTCTTTGGTAAACATGTGCCATAAGCAGTACAACTAGTCTTTGATTGGACGCTAGTAACTAGTGTGAAGTGTCAAGTCCTTTCTTCGGTGCAGACTGAATTCTATCAGTCAGGTTTTGCAATGTGGTCACCATTCTAGGTAGCTAGCCATCACGGTGCACATTGATTTGATGATATTAGAAAGTTGAAGGCAATCGGCAGTCCTACAGGATGTCAATCGTGCCGATTGCCTTCAACTTTCTAATATCATCAAATCAATGTGCACCGTGATGGCTAGCTACCTAGAATGGTGGCCACATTGCAAAACCTGACTGATAGAATTCAGTCTGCACCAAAGAAAGGACTAGACACGTCACATTAGTTACTAATGTCCAATCAAAATACCCACTACAGTCCTACAGGAGGTCAATCGCGAGCCCGAATAGCTCAATGGTAACGTCTCTGACTGCAGCTCTCACTGGGTGACGCGGGTTCGAATCTCAGAAGGGACATGAGTTCCTTCAAGGTTGCAGATACGCCTTGCTGATGAGTGCCAACTAGCACGAAACCTAGGTCCAAGGCTTCCTGCCGATTGCTTCCAACTATCCAACAACCAGTCTTTGTTCGTTAAATATTTTGCATTAGATACTTGTCACAGTTCAGTGAATAACTAACATCTCTTGATAAACAGTCTCACTAGTATTTGAATTCTTCCCCTCATGCACCACTCTATTCAAGATAAGCTAGTACTTATAATCGATTGTATGATATTGGCAATGAAAAAACGCGTTAACAGTCGTCAGAAAAGTGTACGTCTTATGCTTTCTCAGGGGATTTGAGTTTGACATGCTAAATACCACATTTAGGGACAATACCAGTAAGTTATTTGAGGCATGGCTGTTATGACAGTACTACTTACTTAAAGGTCAAACCCATACTTTGTTGACTGCCTGTAAACATGAAACTTAAGATGAATTTATGTAATTTACTACTAACAGAATAAATTGACTACATATCATAACTTCTGATGGCAGAACCTTACGCTACTAGCACAGCACCAACACGTATTGAGTAAAAAAGAATCTATCTTACTGATGGACGAGAAAGATAAACAGTTGGTACTTTATGAATTCAATTAACTACAGTAAATGAACTATTAAAACACTAAAGATAAATTGGTGGATGGTGACTAGCAGTGGAGTAATCCAGGATAACGCGCATTTCGTCCTATTTTGGACTCGTCAACTGGATGTACTTGCGTTTCTCGGTGGGTGATGATGTTCCCACGAGGCTCGAACCCAGTGACCATAGTTTCAAACGCCAAAGCGTTATCAACTAGACCACTTGGTCCACGAGAGCCACCTCTTGTGCAACGGGTCAGATTAATTAAACTGAGTTTTAGATTTTCCCGTCTGCGCAAGAAGCCGACATGTCAACCTGAGACCAAGCACTTCGGTGCAATCAATCGACGGGAAAATCTAAAATTCAATTAAACCTAAAGATAAAGATTCATAAGATTTCAGGTTATTTTTCAACTTAGCAATCTCAAATAAAAGTATCAGGACAGCACTATGCAAACAATGGGAGATAATACAATTTCAAAACGAGAGAAGGTAATAAAATTAGGTGTGATTATTAGACTTTTAACCAGAAGACTTTTAAGACAACATTTCTGATTCTGGGGTTTTGCGTAAATGAATGCTGGTGTTAAACACAGATGCTTCAAAGCACTACATCTATAAAGACTGACGGTACTGTTGTGGTGTCTAGACTCCCGGTCAGATTGAACTTTACGAAACATAAGTTTTAGGTCTGATTACAATTCTAGGTCACTGGGAATTACAAGCTGAGCCTACGGCATAAGTGAACAGTTTAATCTGTTTAGTGAACTTACCAGTTAAGCCAAGTGTAGAGATTCCATTTGTTAGATGATTGGCTGTCTCTAACTGATCAGCTGGGACACCACCAAAGTATAAAGGATTTGTTAAAGCTAAATACTGTGGTTTAATAATCACATTGTATGTAGATATAGTTGGAGTATGTATTGGGTTATTCTCATTATTATTGTGACTATCGTATCCCAGTGTTTTGTTAAATTGTGTATTAACTTTCCCCATAGTTATGCACAACTTCTTGTCAATGTAAAGGTATAATACTTCAGCTTCCAGATAAAGTTTGATCAGATGAAAATTACCATCACTTATCTAAATGTTAAAAAAGGGTGTAGGAAAAAGAAGTAGCGAAGCCGACGGGATAATTAGAATGAAAAATTCGTTATCAATTAATGGTAAATTTTACTTCCTAAAAATGTTATTTATCCCGCCATATGAGTGCATATTTTGTATGGCTTTTGTAGTGAAGGAGGAGAAAAAATCACAAAACATTCCGAGGTGTAATTCGTTTTCGTGTCCAACTGTTAATTGAATAACTTTAGGTTTTAGTGTACGAGAAGGAGCTAATAAAGATAAATTGTGAAGTATGCCACATATAGTCATCTTTTAATACCCAATGTAAGTGGTGAACTCCTAATGAATTAACAAGATGTCTGGACATACAAACAGAATCACTCTATGAAATGAATGAAATTCGACATGGATATCAAGAAAAAACTACTAATCTGTCAGTCTGAAACTAACAGAGCTTCGGTTTGCACCAAAACATTGATTATTTTATCTAACTGAAGATACGAAAGAACTCACAGATATTACGATTGTGATTGTGTTTTTTTTTATTCCTTCACTTTCCCAGTGGAACATAGGGCTTCAAGCTAGTGGCTTGAAGTTTCTGTAGCAGTGTTTAATTTTACAGGATGGGGTTGCTAGCCTCATGCCCAACCTTTCCTCTTCACCAGCTTTAGTTCTGGCTTAGCGAGGAAAAGGAGTGCGTCTGCCGGGGATCGAACCCCGGACCATGTGCATGGTCGGCGAGCGTCCTAAGCGCTAGGCCACCGACGATTGTGAGTGTGGTCAAGTTTTTTCAAATTTTCGACACTATATGTCTCATGATCCTTTTGTAAGTGATGAATCAATATGATTAAATATTGTACTAAATTCGAGGTTACTGCAATCAGTTTGTTTGACTGTATTTTGCTAAGTTTAGGAAAAGTATGGAAGTAAACTATCTAAATATTACTTTCTCCTCCTTAACAAGTGAAATTTGAGTAATATAAATAAAGTATTCACATTAATTGATCAGTAGGGTTTGTAGGTAAACGACATGTTGATAGGTTATTCGAAAACATTAGCATAAATGTGTCTAAATACTATTGTTATTTATTATTGTATCCTTTAATTCCTACAGGAACATAGGGCTTCAGCCTCACGTCTCCATTGCGTTCGTTTCTCTGCTAACGTTTTTACCTGGCTCCAAGTCTGCCAACATGCCATCCTCTTCACATGACCTCCTCCATGTCACTCCCGCAATGACGACCAACTGGCCGCTTCCCTTTCGAGTTCCACTCAAGTGATGGCCTGGCATCTGATGTCACTTGATGGTTTCCTCAGAGTATCGCCAATCCACCGTTATTTCTTCCCGCTTATTTGCTGCTTAATCGGTTACTGCTGGGTTGGTTAACTCCCAGAGATCCCTGTTTCTGATCTTTTCTGGCCATCTGATATTGAGTGAGCTATTGAGCGAAGACAAGTGTTGATGAATGTCTGTAGTTTGTTTGAAGTGCTCTTTATGATGCACCAAGTTTCTGATCCGTATAGTAGCACTGACTTCATATTGGAGTTGAAAATCCGGATCTTATTTTTCCTGCTGAGTGCTGTCGACCTCCACACAGACCTGAGAGTAATGAAAGCTTGTCTTGCTTTCCCGATCCTTACTTTGATATCTTCGTCTAAATACTAGTTCACTCATAATCCTCTCTTTTGAATGGCTCAACAGTATGTCTTTCACTACCAGTTGTCACTAGGCTGTAACCAATGTCAACCTTGCTAGACAGTAGCGTTTATCGACATCCTTCGATCAGGTTTATAGCATGATTATACAACGTGAAGACTTATCACCTTCGTGCACCTGATCAGCTGAGTAAATTGTGCTTTAACAAGGAACAAGTTGCTCACAAATATCAAAAGTAATCGTTTTAAATATGAAGTTTGGCTGGAAATCAGTTGAGAAATATATCTAGATAAATTGTTGGTTGAAAAATATCTTTTTCGCCGTTCGACTTACATTTATTTCACAATCCACATTGTGTGCAGTATAATTTCTATTTAAAGAAAATTTAACATGAATTTTTCCATTGTGTAAGTTCAATAACAAATAATGCTCAGGAGTACCATCTGCATTGTTAATTTGACTTGTGTCAATGAAATTCAGTAAGATGCCATTTGTTGACTTTGTAGCCATTTCGAAACTAATTGTTCCACTTGGTACTAAAGCACCTCGACTTGGTGGCACAACAGCCACATATGAATGAGGACTTGGTAGATTGATAGCGAAAAGATTCTCACAGTATTGACCACTGAAACCTAATTGAAGAATTTAGAAGCAGTATAAAAGCTGATGTAAGTTTGAAAAAAACATTAATCTTCATAATAATACTCAGTAAATTAGATACAATCACTCCTAACAAATAGTTTTTATCACAGCTGCTCTAGCATACTGACTATCCACCCTGTCTTCTGGCTAAAATAGGAATATATGCGTGGGATTCAAAATTCTGAGTGACAGTGCCTTAGTACAAATAATAAAATGTTAAAATACCGATTTTTAGTTATAATATAATGAAATTTATTTTGAATTTTACAATTCCCCAGCATGTGGTTAATGTCAAATCAGGCACTCAGTATTTCTTTTAGTATTTTATAAACTGCATTCTCCGTGTTATATTGTAACGACAGAAGACAAGGGCCAGGCAACAGATCGTTTATTGAGAAAATCAAGAGGCATTTATAGATTTTTATATGCATTATTATTACCGTTATTGTTAGCGGAGAAGCATCCTCTTCTGACTGGTTGTTTTCTTGCTGAAGGTTATTCTGCTATCTCTTTGTGGCCGTTTCTCAAAAAATCAAGCCGTATATCTGTGAATCATATTTCCACACTTTAACTCCTCTGTGATTGGCTGGTGATTTTCTCAAGGTTGAGCTCTGTTATTGTTTTTCTCATGACCCTGATTCAGGACGTGAACATTGACGTAAATTGTTGTCTACAATTTTGGCTTGTAGACAGCTCTCACCACAATATGATCTAGGTCCTACAGTCCTCACCCCTATTAGATTTTCTGACAAACATGATGTTTCAATGTGTGTCGGTGGCACAGTGGTTAGGACGCTGGCCGACCATGCACATGGTCCGGGGTTCGATCCCCGGCCGACTCACTCCTTTACCTCACTGAACCAGAAATAAAGTTGGCAAAGGGGAATGGTTGGGCATATGAGGCTAGTAACCCCATCCTGTAAAAATAAAAACTGCTACAGAAACTTCAAGCCTCTAGCTTGAAGCCCTATGTTCCACTGGGAACGTGAAGGAAAAAAATTGACTTTTCAATAACTATATTCAAACTTAGTGATTGGGTGTCTCTAGCTTTCATTAGTTCTTAGTATTGTATGAATATCTTTCAGAGTTATCAGGGGGAGAATTCATTCTAATTCTTACTCGTTTCCATTATAAATATTCTAAGCCTATCTCGAACTTCACCAGAGATCATAAACAAACAGCTGTTATGCTGAGATATTCATAAAAGAAATTTGATATGACTAGCACCCACACACCTGGTGTTGTAATATACAATGAATGACCAATAAATGCCTTGCTTTCTATAATCAGCCTTTTTTCAACTTCACTACATGAAAAACAGTAAACTTGTCCCTAGGGATAATTGTCTTTTAAATCGTTTTCAAAATATAATTAATCATGAATGAACACCATCTGTAGGACCATTGGAAATCAGGTAGCAATGTGCAGCTGTTTTGCCATTTAACAAGCACACACCCACTACCCTGTCCATGTTTGAATTCAAAACTCTCAGGCTGGAATCTGATAGTGCCTCGTTCCCAGCTTTTGGCACTGTTCATCATATCACTGTTCAAACATCCAACATGATGAACCCTACCAGTTGCTTCTTCTCATTACAATTCTAAGAAACATATCTTGAAGTTATTCACTAAAGAGCGACGGTTTCATATGAAATGGTCAAAATTTCAACAGCTTAAGTTATTTTTCTACTAAAAATGTTTCACAGCCTATATACACCATAAAAACTGAATTAAATAAAGAACCAATTCATTTCACCATGTAAATATTTTTACCTTGTTGGCAAACGCAGCTGTAAGCATCATTTTCATTTTCAACACACTTGGCATTATTTTGACATTGTTGATAAGCACATAGCGTTTCAAGATTTTGTGTTGCGAGCGACCGAGTTTTTATCGGTGACTGTCTTACTCCAGAAGCAGATGTGCGTCCAATCATTAGCTGATGGTTAAACGGTCTATCCATTCTTGTCACATATGTTGAAGGATTCCAAGTTGGTCTTTCACAATAAATTCCTTTGAAATATGAAAAATAAACAAACAAAGTCGCTTAGTGTATACATGATGACTGATTTAACTATACAGTTTAGGGGGAAGATTGTGACGCGGTCATCAACCTGGCTAAATGACAATATAATGTGGTTCACTGTACTTGAGTGACAGATATCAGTTTTCACTTCGTTAAAAGACTACCATGACTATCTGATCCCAGAACTTTAATCGCACCAATACCATGTTGATTTGGGACTTGACGACGACATATAACCTTGAAGTATTCAGGTTCTGCTTGATACATATGTTGAGTTATGCTTCCAGATGTATTAAAGCACAAGTTCATCATGTAGTTTTCGCTTCCATCATTCAAAGATGCTTTAAACAATGGGATGAGGTATGTTACAGCTTACAAACCAAACTTGTATGACATTGTGAAGAAACTAAAAGTTCCTCCATAAAATTCATTCTTTCACTTAATCTTTCTGATCAAATTACTCTACTGTAAATAACATGTTGTGGGACTACGTCATACACAGATCGATCACAGAACGACGTTACCCATAAACTATCAGAGAAGGATGATGATACTGTAGTTCCTCAAAAGTATGGCTTATCACTTCGTATTGCTGACACTGGTGAATCCTTTGAGAGAGTAGTCCTAGGGTTGTAGACCTACATTTCAAGTAAATAGTTATGAGTAAAGTGGTATCGTAAACATCGTAAATTATTTGTTGTGTTATTCTTATAATAATTAAAAGAACAGGAACTGATCACAGGGCTTCTATTAGGCTCGCTGATATATTCCTGTGGCTTACTTTTTAGACAGAAAGTTTTGCCATATTCCGGAAACTTATATCCTCAATGAGATTTGAACCCATACCACCCAAAACTAAGGTTAGCGAATTGATCATTGAGCATGTTAAACATAAAAGGTACCAATTTTAAAAACAGTGTTTTACATATATACATATATGACTGGTGCTAACCTGCATATCCTGGACGGCATTTGCATATGTACTCATTTATACCATCAATACAGGTAGCACCATTTTCACACCTGTTATACACACAGTCATCTTGATTGATTTGACAATCATTTCCAATCCATCCAGCTAAACATTCACATCTAAATGAAGAAAGAGATATGGGGTTATATTGTGATGACAATAAGTGACAAACCTGTAGTTATTCTTCGGTAAACTAATACATTTTCCTCCATTTGCACAGGGATTTAACTCTTCACAGTAGACATATTCATGTTGACAGATTTTGCCTAAAACGATGATAAAAAAGTATATTAGAGTTAATGGTAAGATATGTGAAATAGTGTTTCTTAAGGTCATACAATAAATGTTATACGAAACCAGTGAGCATCGACTAATCCAACATAAGGTTTATGAATGAAGTACACATAAATCTTGATTTGGGGCAGGTATAACACCAAAGATTTCGTACTTACTAGATAAACAGTCTACCATTTCAGAAATCACTTGACCTTAGTTATTCACTGAAGGGAAATACTGACCATAATTAACTGATGAAATCATCACCAAATAAAAAAGTTCACTGTATAATACTAGGTGCTTAATGCAGTCATATTCAGGATTTTCAAACAGTCCTAATTTATTTTTAGGTAGAGAATGGTTAGGAATGTTGGTGTTGAACTAAGGTGTCCAGGTGCTGATTTACATGTCAAAAAGCTTCTAGCTACGGGAGATCATTCCAAGGAACAAGTAATCGATTTTTCATTCCCTCAGTCACTATCCTTGAAGTAAAACCAGTATATGATGGTAAAAGTTTTGAAAAAGTGATCTTCAGAAATGAAAGACTGATAGGTATATTGCAGCTTCACCCCATTATGTGAATGGAAAGACTATCATTACGTCTACCCAAATTTATACCAAAAATCAATAAATTACAGTAGCACCCGCAAAACATTTTAATACTTCCTTGTGACGCCATCCACTTTTTTCTTGAATAAAGGCGGAAAAATAAATTTTACTGCAAATCACCCGAGTTTGGAAAAATCTCTGAATAAACGAACGAAGCGATGACCAACAAGTATAATTTAAAGATATTAAACCTCGCTAACATGTGGTGAGGGGATCGATCCCCGGTCGATGCCCTCGTTTACTCGCTAAGCTGGTAGTAAGACCAGTGATGAGGGATGGCTGGGCATGAGGCTAGCAACCCCGCCCTGTAAAAATAAATACCACTGCTACCGAAAATTCAAAGCTCTAGTCTGAAGCTCTATGTTCCACTGGGAACGTAAAGGAATAAAAAGCCTCTCTAGCGGAAATTATTTGCAAAGTATCTCACAAACAAATCGTTAAGTTGAAAACCAGCAGATGTGTTACTTCTAATGTGACGGATCAACAGAGCTAGTAATTCTTTCACATTCTTTTCTATTAAGGTGGTTACATGAATAGGGGTTTATCGTAAGAGCAAAGATTTGTTACTTAGAATCAGAATCAGTTGTAAATTTACGAATTATCCAACACCAACATCTACGTAATTTAGGATAATTTTGCCTAATTATGTAGTAAACGTCAATGATAGCTTCCAAAACTTGAAGAACATTATGCATTAGTCATATGGGAACTGAATTTTCAGTCATTTCATTAAGAAACATAATTCGTAAAAGGGAAGTTCGGCTGAGCTCACACAGGTGCTTGTTGAAGATTATTTCAACTAACAGAATGAAAGTAAATTCTTCTACTAATAATTTTCCTACTAGTGAATATAGTGAGTGTTTATATTGTGGTTTTGGTTGTGAAAATCTTTATTCTTTTCGTCTGAGAAAAAAACAGTTTCTCTCAATCATGACAATCTATGACAAAGTATGCAGAATGAAAGTTATCAAGTAATGAATTTAAACAAACCATGAAATAGAGGTGTACAATGACATCGATAGTCATTATCCAGTGCTTCACATGTCCCTCCATTTTGACAAACATTATGTTTACAAGTTTCTAGTTGTTTAGCACAAGTTGGTCCATGAAAACCTGGTGGACAGATACATCTGAAGGGAAAGCGGAAAATAAAGAAAACTATCAGTATAGTTTAGTCATCTAATAACTGAATCAACTAACTAATCCCATTTAATGTACTGCAAGTCCTTTATTCGAAGAGTACAATCTTTAGACTCCAAGATATATAGTATACTTTGAGTTAGTAATTAAGAATTCTGATTTCGGAATGGAGTGGTAGTGGCAGTTAATATGTTTATCCCGATTCATTTACAATTGTCAGAACAACAGTAGACGCACCCGCAAGGAAAACCGAAGCTTAGATATCAGTAAAACCACAAAACGATGTTTCTCTTCTATTACCTAATTTGAATATCACACTGTGAAATATGTTTTATAACTTTCAAAGCTTATTCTTTATTGTTCTTCTAAAGTCCTCTTATTTTCATTTGCACCGAGTGCTTAACACAATAAATCAACGCACACTTTTGAGAAATTCTCACGATTCTTTGTCTGTACCCATTTATGTTTCATGATTATACTCGGGTCTGAATTTCCAAATTTTCCGTAACTGTCAACATCATTAAAGTTATCACTGATTAGTAATAAAAAGCAGTAAGATTTGTCGAAATCTGCTTTTAATTCAAGAATATATTTAGATAAAAGCCTATTAGATAAGGCATTTCATCATTCAACATCTGTCACCAGTTCGTAGAAGTATAAACAACGAAATAATCCTAAATGAAAAGTAAACTAATAGCTCATTTATTACTGAAATAACTTACAGATGGTAACAATTACTAACAATAAACTGTACTGAGCAAGATAAATAATGATATTTTGAAGAAATCTTTTAGCCTTTGTTTATCCTACTTAAAAGATTTATTCAGTAACATAACATAATGTACAAATTAATAAGTCTACCGAATTTAAGGCCATCTTATTATAATTTATTCTGATAAATCAAAGTTACACCTGAGCATTTAATCTACTTAAAGTTTTAGCTGGATGTTGTTTCAAAATATTTCATTTGAAATTTATGAAATGGCATCCGCTACCATCTGAAGATATGTGTAGGAACATTCGATAAGGTGCCTACTTATGTCGCATGTCCAGAAGTGTTTCGAAATATTCTCCCGCTAGTTTTATCCCTTTCTAGTGAGATATTGGAATCCCGAGTGTACGATTACTAATATTTAAATTAATTATTTACAAATTATAGATTATATTGTGATATTCAATTTTTGAAAGTCATTTGGATGATGCACTGAATTTGGCGTGGTAGCATACAAAAATTAAATCGTTAAAATTAGTTAGAATATTGAAGAACTTTTTAACAATTGCGAAATGTTGTCAGTCATTCAACTACATATCGTTATTTCCACGTTTATGAAACTTTTAATTCACTGAACTGGTCAGTTATTATGACTACTCGTGTAATTGAAAGTGAATACGTTTTGCGGATTGCGTAATTATGAGTTTCACTGGTATGTGAGATTCCTTAGTCGGCCAAAACAACCATTAACAACATCTATGATCTGATTGTATCCAGAAGTTAGGGTTATTTTGATGTGGCACCAATAGACATTTAGAATAGTTTGATTGAACACTAGTTTGTAACTAGTGTTCATTCAAAGTATCCAGTACAATCCTACAGAAGTCAGTCGTCAGCCCGAATAGCTCAACGGTAACGTCTGTGACTGCAGCACTGGGTGACGCTGGTTTGAATCTCAGAAAGGACATGAGTTCCTTCGAAATTACATATACGCCTTGCTGACTGGTGAGTGCCAGGTAGCACGAAACCTAAGTCAGTAAGGACTTCCTGTGGCCGACTGCCTCCTACCATCTAGTATCAGGCATTCAGAATACATTGTGATGATGTGGAAGAATACACTCTGATTATTATTATTGTTTCCTTTAATTCCTAGAGGAACACAGGGCTTCAGCTGTGCGTCTCCATTGAGTTTGGTTCTCTGCTAGAGTTTTCACCTGACTCCATGTCTGCCCACAGGCCTTCATCTCCTCTTCACATGACCTCCTCCAAGTCACCCTTGCACTGACGACCAACTCGCCGCTTCCCTTTCGGGTTCCACTCGAGCAATGGCTTGTCTAGTGATGTCTTTTGATGGTTTCCTCGGAGTATGGCCAGCCAATCCATCTCCATTTCTTCCTGCCTATTTGTTTCACAATCGGTTCCTACCGGGTTGGTTCGTTCCCAAAGATCCCTGTTGCTAATCTTTTCTGGCCGGCCATCTGATCTTGAGTATTGAGCGAAGACAACTGTTAATGAAGGTCTGTAGTTTGTTTGAGATGCTCTTTATGACGCGCAGTGCAAGTCTCTGATCCGTATAGTAGCACTGACTTCACATTGGAGTTGAAAATCCGGATCTTATTTTTGATGCTGAGTGCTTTTGACCTCCACACAGACTTGAGAGTAATGAAAGCTTGTCTTGCTTTTCCGATTCTTGCTTTGATATCCTCGTCAGTTCTGCCTGTAGTTGAAACGATGCTTCCCAGGTAGGTAGGTGAAGGAGGTTGTTTCTTTCAGGTTCCTTCCATTTATGCTGATTGTTGTCTGTCGTTGTTGTTGTTGGTGTTGCCCAGGAATCTTCATCTCTGTTTTCTCTATGTTCACCTAAACTCCTTCCTATCGTTGATGCTTCTTCTGCCAACTTGTTGCTTTTCGCTTGCATATCTTCCAGTTTGTGGGAAATCAGACATATAGATCACATCGACGAAGTTCAGATCCTCCAAGTATTTTGTGTGAGTTCATTTTATGCTTGTTTCCTCATTGCCCGCTGTTTGTCGCATTATCCAATCTACTGCAATCAGGAAAATCATTGTCTTACCCCTGTCCTCACTTCGAAGGATTCCGTAAGTTTCTCGTTGTGGATTACTTGGCATGCAGCATTGTCGTACAGCTGCTCGATGAGATGTATAATTGTCGGTGGTACCCCGTAGTAGCGAAGTAGTTGCCAAATCACCTCTCGATCGACGCTGTCGAATGCCTTTCCAAAGTCGACGAAGTTGAGATAGAGAGGTGACTGCCATTCCAGGCTTTGTTCAATGATGATCCGTAATGTGGCGATCTGATCAATGCATGAATTGTTTCTCCTGAATCCAGCCTGTTCCGGTCGAAGTTTTTCATCCAGGGTATGTTTGATTCTCTCCAGGATGATGCGGCTTAGTATTTTGCTTGGGATGGACAGGAGCATAATTCCGCGCCACTTTGAAAGTTTATCTTAAGGTATCATTTGTTAATAGTGGATAACAATTATCCCGTTTAATCAAAAAGCATGGGATCACATAGTATATATATTCTCACTGCTTGAATAACTAGAACAACAATTGAACAGCTTAAATGATTTGCCAGACACATCACTCTATTAGGGCAGACTTTGGAAATTGTTTGTTCTGTACTACGTTTACGTTACCAGTGCATGAAAACATTAATGTTCACAGTAAATATATAAAAAATAAAGCAGGTTAACAAAGGTAACTTTAGAGTGCAAATACTTCCAGTTAATGTGGTCTGTTTTAATCTATATCAGACACAATTACGAATCAAACGTCTCATTTAAAATTAGGGATCCAAACCAGACAACCAAGATCTCCCCATAAACTTCATAATATGAGTTTTGTCCTCCTCTGCTCGATGTTCTGACAGCAAGTATGAAAACTATGAAGTACATAGCGGCTGATTTCAATTTTCTTTTGGTATTTTAGGACTTTCATTGTAGATCAATTTAGTCAAAGTAAAGGGATATTAGAGATCATTGACAGTAGACAGAAGTGAAATCCCTCAATGGCTTTGTTATTTTTGATGCTTTGACGAAAGCTGATAGAAGTTTCGACGATAAATGATGTGTCATTTCCGTTTTGCTTCATGAAAAATAAATTTTATCACCAGTTTTCTATTTCAGATGGTGGCATTTATTGGGCTACTATTACACACAAACTATCTAGGGGATCTCAAGTAGACTGCGTAATGGTGTATGAGAAATATCAATGGATATTATTATGGCTACTTACTTGTATGAACTCGGGTAAGCTGTAATTTTGCATAGTCCACCATTTTGACATGGGTTCGTTGAGCATATATGGTCTCGTTGCTCACAATTCTTTCCATAAAACGGAGGTTTACACGAACATTTATATTCCAACTGTGTAAGTGCTAAACACGTCCCACCGTTTAGACATGGATTCAATAAACATGGCATACATTTGGCGGCAATCAAAATGGATTCTTTCTCTCTATTAATCATATCATGGTTAGCCTCTGACGCATAGACATTATTTGACTGACTAAATCTGTCATTTGGTAGAGGGGGTTGTGAACTTGGAAAGTATAACACATTTTCATTTATGTCTGTATTTGTTTCGTTTTGTTGTTTCCATGGGCACGCAAAATCTGAAGGCTTTGAATGATAAATGGATTTTAATCTCATATTTGGCGGGCTGTAGCATAAAGAGATTCCATTATCCAAGAAATATTGCCGAAAATAACTGTTTAACCATTTGCTTGTACAGTCACAATGTAAAGGATTTTGCCCGAGTGCACTGTAATTTGCAAAAGGAATAAATGCGTCGTTAATTATTGTTCTAAATGAATAAACTACTTATTTAAGAAATAAGTAGACAATAGTTGCCAGAGGAAACATCAAAACAAAATATAGTAATTCAAGTGTCGGTTTGTAGGGATTTGATCGGTAACAGGATTTTCATCATGAATCCGGTACTCCAGTCCAGTACTCTCAGGTTTTCCAATGGTTCTCTAACTAATGTCAGCTCATGATGAAAATATAGGAATGTTGAAATATTTGTAAAAATCACAGAGAAAGTAAAATAAGTAATCCCAAAGTTTTTCTCAGCTAACTATTATTATTATGTTGACTATAATGTTGAACAGATGTCATCTTCTATTAAAGACCTGTCTGACAGGGAAAAATTAACACAACATGTCTGATTCCTTTCTCACTCTGGAGTGAAAAATCTTAGAAGTAACAAGATACAGACGTTGAAGCAAATTTGTTAGGATTATTGAGTTGAACTCAGTTTTTGTTTAGCATATGAGCGAATCCATGTATAATTTAAGTTGATCTATTCACATTTGTGAAGATGCTCTATCATGAACAATGCTAGAATTAACGAATTTAACAACAATGAGTCGTGCAAACAACGTCAACTAACTACTAAATTCATACGGAGAAGTCAGAAAATCACTCTTTTCCGTGGAAACTACTGAAGATATTAGCTAAACTGGACTTAGTTTAGAAAAGAGTGAGGAGTGGTGAGACCAGAACATGCTACCCATCCATGATATATTTAACGGCTGGTTTAATCCATATAGGGAAATGTGAACTGTAAAACTAGAGTCTTCAGTAGTTGGAAATACTTTGTAACACAGTGTAAAATGGTGTAGATATATGTACTTCTCGTTTTCCAATAGGTTTTGATAAATGTCTACAAATCTTCACTTGTAGTTAGGTTACGTCTTTTCCCTACATTCGCACATGCTGTTTCTAGAAGTTAGGCGACTAGAAACGACTCAGTATTTTTTACAAAGCTACATTTAACTTCATAAGTCAGTCAGTAACATTTTTGGTCCTCCTAAATCATTGTCACACTGTAATCTGGAATCAGACTGAAAGCCTTAATCTTCAGCTCTCAGAACACCATAATACAACTAATGCCACACAACAAATTGGTTGGTGACAAGAATTCAAGCTGATGGAAATTAATATATGCTTTATTAATTATGAGCTATGTTCTAAATAGTTTAGCAGGTAAATACACTTGAACAGGATAGTCACAACACAATGTGGCATTACTTTCAAACACTGAATACCTTTTCAGCAACTACTTCGGTATCAGGGCATCATAAAGATGGCTTTCTCATACGATGTGTGTGTGTGTGTACGATAACACTGAATGTGGTAACATGGTAAATCATAGACTGAATTTACGATAATCTGGAAGAAATACGCTCAGCAAAATATCATAAACAGACAAGACCTACAGCACAGTCATCTATAAGAACTTTATTAGACTTGGTAAATTCTATTAAGTCATTTGGTATTACTATCAAACTTGATATTAGTAGTAGTTATAATAATTTACAGGCCTGTTTTTTTGCTTGTGTAAACATGTTGTGAAACTTAAAGCCTCATTCCATTTGAACACCTATTACACTCATACACAAACGCACAAGTGTAAAAGTATTTACTAGTTCACTGTGTAGAAGTTTAACCTGTTCTCTAATGTATTCATGCATTAAATGATGCCTCCAAGTGAATTCGCTCGAAGATATTTTTCTGCCTATTGTACCTTTCGTTAGTATCAATCAAACAAAGTAAACACTCCTCCTATTGTGTATGACATTAAAATTGAAACAGGGACAGGTGAAGGGAGGTAAATAACAAAAGAGTAAAGCAGAACAGCTTACACATTGTTTAATTGGCCAAGATCATTGAATGCACCGTAGGGTATAGTAGAAATGTTGTTCCCCTGAAGTATTCTGTAGAAAGAAATAGTTGAGAAAGTAACAACACATGAAACAACGTTAATCAGAAATTTCAACAAGTTGGAAGAGAAGATGAAGTAGTTATATCATGTTTAGTTGAATCTTGTAGGTAACTGTATTTCATTATTCAACGAATAATGTACTACACTGGTAGCTTATAAGTCAATTTTAGAGAAATGAAAAGAGAAACGAGTCACTCTTTAGATTGTATTGTAAACAGATTTCTATGCTATACCTCTATGTGAAGGAGCATTTTCACTGTGATTCTAAGTCATGATTTCACTCGTCTGATTTTATTAATGAAAAAAACAAACAAGTTAATGGTACCAGATGGTGAAAATTCTGGCTACTTTGTTGTAAATAATTTAGGATTGGTTTTAATCTCCTTGTAAGAATTTAACTATCCAATTTCATTTTTCAATTACTGATAAAAGACTACATGGACGTTTTGAAAGAACTGGTATCCTAAAGTCAGACTTATTTGTGGCATCTATTCTTACTCACAATATGTGTCACATTGTTTAATGAAATCTGTCTGAATCACTAATTCTGCATATAGAAACGTATTTAATATTCAGGATACGTAAATTTCTAAAATCTTTTACTTTCAATGTTGAGAACCACACTACAGTGTTCAATAGTTCGGTGACTTCATTGCACACCTGACTCAAATATTACGGTTAACGAACTTTGGACATTTACGAACGTTGATTACTTTCTAACTAACATTTCAAAATATATCTTTTGATTTATTTCTTAGTCGCTTGAAGAAGCGTTGTTTGAACAACTGAAGAAACTAATGCAGGACAGCAGTGGGAAAATTGTGATGGATCCATGAACTGCTCTTGGTTTGTAACTTCTGTTACTATTAACTAATATCTTTCATTATTTAAAAGCTGTCTAGGGGACATTTTAAATTATTTACCGTTGCACATAGTTATAACAGATTTGTTATGAAAAAATGCGCTCATACACAATGTCGAATTTTCTGAAAATTTCTAACTGCAAGGTATTCACTTTATTTTGGGAAAATTTCTATTCTGGTAAAGTCTCACGGTGGTACACAGTAATATTTGGTGATGTTTCAAGCACAATTTATTGCTCATTATCTATATCATAAAACTTTGATATGATTATGGGCAATAAACTGTGCTCGATACATCATCAGTAAGTAATACTCTATAACACTGTGATACTTTACCAAATTAAAAATTTTCTCCATAACGGAATGATACTCTACCACAGTGTCCAATTTCTATTCTTATATCAAGGTACTTATTCCTTGTACATGATGTTCAGGTAATATAATGCAAGATTTTGTATTAACTGAAGCAATATTACTTTATGCGAGGCATGCTGTAAAGATCCACAAGGTTTCTCTACCTTTTCCTTCAGAAAACTGGTAGCAATAGATTGAAACCCATTTGAGAGTGTGTCTAAGTATTTATTGTGATTCTTAGACATAAGTGTAAGATTAAAACAATATGAAATGGCTTAAACACGCTACATTTAGTTTGACAGAAAATTTAGGTAGCCCAGGTATTTAAGCAGGCCACCAGTACATCATATATTAGCAAAAAACAGAGGTAATTCGATTCCATTCCACTGAGTGAATGATAACCTCTTGTCAGTGATATGTTCTGCTACTCTTAAGCTCAGTTTTATACAAGATATGAGTATTTCTGAAAAGGTATAAACTAGAACAGAACAGATGTATATTTTCGCTTAATTATCAATGATTCTCTAACTGGCAAACATCGGTAATGAAAAACTTTATTAATTAAGCAGACTGCATGTTAACGAAAAGGAGGTTTATAAATTAAAGACGATGGAAAAAAAATTCATTCAAACACTTACAAGACGCGAAGATTAGATAAACCATAGAAGGCTTCGGGATGGATACATTGTAGATTGTTGTAGCTAAGAACACTGAAATAATCATTGAAAAAGAGTCAACTGTTACTGAAAATACAAGAAGTACCATTTCTACGCAATATATTAAACTAATCTAGGAGTTTTTCGATAAGTTTAATCAGTATGGTAGACTAAAATGTTTAAAAGTTTGTAAATTTCATCAACCTTGCGTTCAAGGATAACAGTGACTTTATACATGGATTTCACCTGGAACATCTTCGAGATCTAAGCATTTGATATGAAGTATACAGTTGTACGGTTTTACACTGTCTCTTTTAGGTGAGTGAATTCCATCGCAATACTGAAAATATTTCATTTATTTTGATATATATATATATATATATATTGAGCACCTACCATACAGAATATCCTCCTCTTCTTTTCAGCAAGAAAACCTTCAACTAGTTCAATTCAAAGAATATGAAAACCCACCTTTTGACCAATGGATTTACAGAATATACTCAAACTTATAGAGCATATCTACGTGGTCGGTTCATTTTTAATGTGTAAACAACCTATATCTGAGATTTAGTCTAGATGGGCGTATAATAGTGGACAAATTATGAATCATCGTGCACACTAAAACTTGTGTTACAAAATTTATATTTTCAGCAGCATATACTTAAACAAACAAGTTAGTAATGACGATAGAACGATGTACACACAGCAGTATCTGTTTCTTTCATAAACGCAAAACTCTTAACTTAAAATTCTTAGGATTTTAGTTATTCCCTCATCTGCGACAAACACAGAAATGTATCTCTACACATGATCTAGTACATTCTACGTACAAATGGCTTGCAAATTTTGCAAGCGTAAAGGAAAAAGAGCAGAAGCTCTTAAATACGTGATTATTATTTTTCAGCTAATCGGTGAGTTAATTATTCAATTTCACTTGGGATGAAGATGAAACGGTATTCCGTACGAACTTTCCGCTTACTATAGAAAGGAATCTGTTAACACACTGCTGGGAATCTGTCAGTCGTTAATTCTTAGTCGGATGAAACTTTCTATGGCCGGTCTAAGATTACTTAATTTCTGCTGGGAAAACTTTATTCATGAGAAATTCACTTGGAATATCGGGAAACGTAGAGGATCTGTCCCTCAGTGTTGATTTCAACGAACGAAGTTGTAGCCATCACCAGTGTTTACTTTCGAGTTATTTATGTCATAAATAGTAATAGTTAGCATATTTATTATTGTCATAGTAGTCTAATTTGTAGACAGTAATAAAATCTTTTTCAAAAGAATGGTTAGTGAACAAAGAATATTCTTTTCGATAACTTCATCATCAGGTTCTACAGTTCGTACTCTTTAAAATCTGCTAGAAATTTACTAGACTCTGGCTCGCTTTCAGGCCCTTTCACAAGTTCTATCTGCTTCTTCTGTTCTCTTTGTTCACTAACTTGAGTAGCGTATTCCATAAAAGGCGTTCTAAGATCTTCTGGCAGTTCATATACTGCACACTGCCTGCGGGCAATACTCATTTCATTCACTTGTATATATGTAGATAAAGAGTCTGTTTGGTTTAATGCATACCGTTTCAGTGTTTTCTTATTGGGGTGAACTCCGCTTCGACGAAGAGGTTTGTAATAAACTTTGGGATAGTGGTTTGATTCGATGCAATCCTTAATGAAGTACAATGCAGCCCTTCTTTCTTGGGCATTTTTAATCAGTTATAAATTCTGCTAAAATTCACATGGAAAATAAGGTGACTGCTCGATGTTGGTCATAACACTGTCACAAGGACTGACAGTCATCTAATTTTCTAACTTCAGGATTCAGTTTTGTATTAATCTTCAAAATATATTGAGACAAGATGGAAAATGTGGTGACCGGTGGGTTTTTATTGTCAGATCAGACTATTCCTATAAATTTATCATTTACTGAGTTTAAATTGGTATTATTCCCCAAAAAGTAATCAACTTACATCGTCTTAAGATTGGTTAGTTTCTCAAATACACGTGGCGGTAATTCTCGTAGTTTGTTATAACTTAAAACTCTGAAATTAAAAAGAAATGAACAAAAAGTAGCATTATAAGTATTATTTAAAAATCCGAGGGGAGATGAAAACAAATGTATGTTTTACTAATCTAAAAGTCCACTTAAACGATTACATTTATGTAAATTAAATTCTTCTGTTTCAGCCTCAAGTGTATGGAAATGGCACAACAGTTAAATATAAAATCTGAAACCTTTGACTAGTTATATCTCCTCACCTTCGTAACTGATCAGTCATTTGTCCATCTTGAAATAATGCCCAACCTTACTACCTTATATCACAGTTCGATCCCATGAATACCTGATTAACTCCATTCAAATGAATTTAAGTAATATCATTTAGTTTATTCTATGAAAGTATTGTGACTAAGGTATCTTCTCACAAACTAAATACTATAAACATCAGCAGAATTTCGTATTAGGACTGCATACGACTGAAATCTTTTGAAGTACTTCCTAGGTTTCCTACTAAAAGGTTTCTTCTGTTTCTTTATCTAGATCGCTATAGCTAATAAACTCAAATCGAAAAGGAAAGTGTGAGCATATTGAAGTAGGTGTGAGGAATCATAGCCTAAACAGAATGCTGTTTCGTTTCTGTTAGTTACAAGTTTCTGAAATTTTTAAGTGAAATTTGTCGGGTGTGCGAAGGTGTCCTCAGAAATAGTATTAGTCAGTGATCATGTTTTATTTGTCGGGAATTTATAAAGCCTAAACTCAAGTCACTATGTATCCAACACAATGAATAAGATCTATAGAACAGACTGATAATTAGTCATGAATGCATGCTACTAATAAGTTTCCAAAACTGAGCAAATCCCCATTTCAGCTTAGTTTAATTTATTAGAATTCTGGAAAGAACTCCAATCTGTGAGATATGTGACCAAATCTAGAGTGTGTTAAACCCTAATCTAACTGCTTCAATGTAACAAACATTTACAAATGAACAAAATTTTTCGTTGTATCGTGTTAACAGTTACTTGTTTTCAGCATGATTTTTAATAATTTTGCCTACTCACTGGTAAAAGTTTACATTCAACTTCTAAGTGTGGTACAAAACAGTGAAGAAAAAAAATTTATTCCAATGTTTGTTTTCGTTTTGTGTATTTGTGACTCATTCAATTCATCATTACTGTCAACTTTAACTATGAAAACATTTTGAAGAGCACAGTATAATCTTTCTATCTGTGAAATACAATATATGAGTTAACGTTGTAATGAGTGTTTATCATTTCTTCTTAGCCAATCATCTACGAAGTAATATTACATTTCTAGAATTGAAATAAGCAAATAAACCCACCTGGTAAGTTTGTAAGCTGTTCAGTTTTCATTCAATGAAATATGAGATTATAGAGTAGAGTGGAACAATAAATAGAGTATCAGATTAGAAAAATATGTTTTTAGTTCTATCTAATTTATCTTATTTGTTATACTGAGTAGAGTGAAAACTAGACATACTAAATAACAATGAAGAAACAAAACATTCAAGAGTCATTTTAGAACCTTTCCCGTTGTTATTAACATCACTAGTAACATAACGCTCAATATTTGAACACCATGCAGGAAATAACAAATATGCAGACTGGGTGATGCATAAACTGCATTTCAAATTCACAATTTGTAATTAACACAGTTCGAGGGGTGAAATTTTACCATAGTTTTGCTTGGAAACCAAATTATTCCTACCACAGTATGTGATCTGCTTGATTACATGAACGCTAATCAATAAAGCAAGCAAATTGGCATAAAAATGGGGTGAAAATCCATCCATCGAATTGTTTAGACGGCGAAATTCCTGACCAACTTGCAAATTGTGAAGTTGATTTGCGGTTGAACCGGTTCACCCAAGTAATCGGTTGGTTTAAACTTATTTGGCTCTCTGAGCAGAGTCACACCGGATCCACGGTTGATGCGCTCGGCCCCAAATGGGCGATACGGCCCTCCGGTGTTTAGATCACCTCAATCTGACTAGCATTCACTGCCGGTTGATATGAGTGGTATTCAACTACTCATCCCAGTTAATCAGTAGTACACAATTTTGTGCAAATATTCTGTATTTCATCGATTTTTCTAGATTCATCGCAGTGATGAGATCGCAGTTATTCGTTAACTAAGTCCTTCAGAGTTAAACTATGTGCTTTATGTTTGTTCTGATTTGTGTGACATAAACGTTGATTTCATCAAGAGCCTAAACCGACTAGGACTTTTCAGAAGTGTGCGACCGTTAATTGAAGATGAAGTGAACTAAACCTTCTAACCCTTTGAGGTGCGTAACTTACCAGTCATTGACTAGGTCATTATGAAATCAAGTGCTTCATGATTTATAACTTCTGTCATTAAGTTAAAATTTGCTTAGCGTCCTCAGCGGCTCCTACTTTAAACAGTCCTTTAGGTTATTAATTCTTACTAGAACTTAGGAAGATCCATCGAGAGAAAAGTCAATTGTGACCTGTAAACTGTTATCAAGTTACTAGACTAGTTAACACTTCAATAATTCCAAGATGAGTGCATATACTTCAGAAGTCTTGGACTAGAAAAAATTTTGTGAGGCACTGCACTCTGAGTTGACGTTATTTCAAAATGCTGATTTGCATAAGGGGGAATACAATGAACTACAATATATTGAGGGTTTTAATACTTGTATACTTACAGGGTATGCAGTTTCTTGAGATGAGATATTCGATTTGGATCAATTTTTGTTATCTGGTTCCTTTCCAGGTATCTGATAGAAAAACAATCAAAGAAAACGAAAGAGTAAAAACAAAAGTTATCCCATGAAATAACTCATTACTGACAAAGTCGAGATGCGAAAACCATCCTCAAATTACCGTGAGCTGTTTTGACGAGGTAGTTGGAAGGTGTGATTAGTCTAACACACGTACTATATTAGTGTGATATGTTTTAAGGATTCAAGTTACATGGGTACCTCTCAAACATATTTATACAAAAGTTAACACAATAACCAAGTCAAAATTGAGTTCGGTAGGATTTCAAGTGTTGAGAGTCAAGGTAAAAGATGAAAGACGAAGAAAGTAAAATGTGAATAACTTTTGGACTTGAAATTGGACTACCAAGGAAGATCTAGTTTAATAACAACTAATTTTTATAATTTTTTTTCTTTTAATTCTTAGAGGAACATAGGGCTTCAGCCGTGCGTCTCCATTGAGTTCGGTTCTCTTCTAGAGTCTTCACCTGCCTCAAAGTCTGCCCACAGGCCTTCATCTCCTCTTCACATGACCTCCTCCAAGTCACCCTTGCACTGACGACCAACTCGCCGCTTCCCTTTCGGGTTCCACTCGAGCAATGGCTTGTCTAGTGATGTCTTTTGATGGTTTCCTCGGAGTATGGCCAGCCAATCCATCTCCATTTCTTCCTGCCTATTTGTTTCACAATCGGTTCCTACCGGGTTGGTTCGTTCCCAAAGATCCCTGTTGCTAATCTTTTCTGGCCGGCCATCTGATCTTGAGTATTGAGCGAAGACAACTGTTAATGAAGGTCTGTAGTTTGTTTGAGATGCTCTTTATGACGCGCAGTGCAAGTCTCTGATCCGTATAGTAAGCACTGACTTCACATTGGAGTTGAAAATCCGGATCTTATTTTTGATGCTGAGTGCTTTTGACCTCCACACAGACTTGAGAGTAATGAAAGCTTGTCTTGCTTTTCCGATTCTTGCTTTGATATCCTCGTCAGTTCTGCCTGTAGTTGAAACGATGCTTCCCAGGTAGGTAGGTGAAGGAGGTTGTTTCTTTCAGGTTCCTTCCATTTATGCTGATCGTTGTCTGTTGTTGTTGTTCTTGTCCAGGGATCTTCATCACCTCTGTTTTCTCTAATTTTTGAATAAGTAAAATAGGTTTAAACCACTTTTCGTCTAGGACTTCAAGAAAATTAAGTATGAACCTTAAACTTGTTCTTTGCATGAGTTTAAAAGAAGTGTTAAAATAGCATTTATGACAGCTTTCTGCAGGATTCTTTGTGATATAAGAGGCTAGACATCTACCTTTAGAGTGTTCCGAAACTCTGTTGCAATCACCTAGGTATTTGCTGTGTTGACTCCCCCTCTCAGTGACTTCTGGCCACACATACATACATACTGATAAACACAAACTAATATGGCGACAACTTTCAAATACCGTTAGGGTTAACAGGAGAAACCTAGTTTCCCTTTGTATGGATATGAGCTTAGCTGCATAGTAAATTCTATGGAATGCCACTCTGAGTATTTGTTTGATGATAAAACTTGAAGAGAATTGCCTTTGAGTGCCGAAGCCATATAAATGTCTTCCTTTGAGACTGTTTGTATTTTTCGAGTACTTTGTTGGACAAATCTTTAGCTGACAGATAATCTTAAGAACGCATAGTGTCATCGAGTTACAAGTGTACTGAAGAAGAATAAAAAGCCATCATTTTCTTTCATTCAGTCTGAGAATATACTTATTTGCTCTTTCTTCACTTTAAAATCGATGGAGCATCTGTCAGGGTGATACATAGCTTTGATATCTCCTGCCTGTTTCATCTTTCCATTCCTGTTCATCTTACCTCACAATCATCGGTCACATTTACGACCGTCTGCAATTTATATGCATATTTATTCTTTTTTGACGAATTTCAGTTTAATTTTTCCCAGGTTGGTCAAACATTTGTCATCAGTTTGTAGAAGGTAGACCTAGATTTCTTATTTCACTGATACTCATCAGGGAAGTGTATTTACAGTCAGAGAAAGACTCACTGTGCCTTGAAGATCTCCACATTCACCTCTCAGTATTTAATTCAAAATCTGTAACTCTGTGTTATTAATTCAGTTATTTACACCTTGGAGAAAATATTCTGAAGTTACCAAGTAAGATGCCACAGAAAATACGTAGACCGGTAAACTTCTATTTTTGTTGAAAGCAAACAATGAACCGAAGTTCCCATGATAATTTGACAGTATACATAGTTTTATATTATTTTACAGAATATTGGGCACTTTAAATTTAATTGTTAAAAGACTGGAACAATTGAAAACACTGTCAATACTAAACTGATGTAGAAAAACATGGAATAATGGAATGTTGCATATTTCTGTTGGTATGGTTACATGGCTGATAGTAATCATTCGTCAGGTTAGAAAAAACCTGTGTTTGGCCGGCAGTAATCAGCTGTCACTTCAAACTATAAAATACCATAAATCAGGTGTTATTTAGAATATGATGTTTTTTCTGACTAAAGATAAAAACACTTGGATAGTTGACTACATCACCTTTCATGACTTGGATAGCTCCACTAGTAACAGATTGACCAAAAAGACTTTTTAGACAATTAAATCTCTCTTATAAAGGTTATTCACATGAATTCAGATATAAATGTGTCACAAATATGTTTATCGTCTTAGAGTCAGTGAACCTCTAAAGTTTCAAATCCTCTTCCTTAAAAGCCTACTATTCATGCTGTAAACACGATATGGATTCAATGAGTTGATCACGGAATGATATCAGTTAGAGAACCATTGAAATCCAGGGAGTACTGGACAGCTGCTGTTTCATCCTATTTTGGGAATCATCGGTAGTACGCACTCAAACTAGGATGAAACAGCTGTCCAGCCTTCCCTGGTTTTCAATGGTTCTCCAACTGATATCAATCCGTGATCAACTCGTAAAAATAAATATGATCCTCACAAACCAACTATAGAAAATGGATTCAATGAATTTTCATCGAACTCTGAAGAGATTAGGTTCCTTTTCAGCCCCGTATATATTGTGTTGTCATCCTAATGAACTATCAATAATGTTTTTAAGTAGAATTCTTAACCTTATTCATTAAAAATATTTGATTGAGTCGTGAGATACCTTCCCGATGAGTCCAACCGAGTTTTAAACTGTAACTCAGACCATTACAACAATCTTCACCAGGACAGTGCAAGTTGTGATGCTGTTTTATTCAACTTACCTCATACCTCATTTCATATTATTCCTTTGTTTTCCCAGTGGAACATAGGTCTTTAGGCTTGGACTTTAAAGTTTAAGTAGCAGTGGCGTTTTTTTAAGGAGTGAGGTTACTAGCCTCTCTCCAGACCTTCTCTCTTCACAGGGCTTACTTCCGGCTAAGCAAGCTTTAGTAGTGTGTCAGCTAGGGATCGAACCTCGGGTTACGTGCATAGTTGGCGAGCAGTCTACTGCTGAACCACCGTAGCACTTCATACCTCATTACATGTACCATTTTAGTAATAGACTCGTTAGTACATGACAATATCTACAGCACTCAAAGAACTGGAGCAGTAAATAACAACTTATCATGAAAGTAACTAGAATCCTCCACTGTGCGAATTTTCCCATCCATTTAATTGAAAATCTGTTTCTCATCGCAGACGTAATCCATACAACAAAACCCGTTGTTTTAATTATAACTGATAAATCACCCACCGCCATCATTACCGCAAAGAGTAAAATTAAAGTTAAACTGAGTAGCCGAGTATGACTAAAATATAAGTGCACGTTAAAACAGTTCAGAAATAACCACTTTTTGTTAAAAATAAGCAACCGTTATCTTGTAGAAATTATTCGTTATGTTAGCTAATGGAAAATTATTTGGACTTGTCGGGGTAGTACAGAAATCCTTAAAATGTTATCCCTCGTATTTGCGACTTGTAAGCTAAATAAATTTTCACGTTGAAAATTGAGGACCACATGCCAGCTGAAACAGCTAAAATTTGTCTACTAGACCAGACATGTTGTGCAACTAATATCGAATTGACTGACTGCCATCTCACCTACTGCATTATTTATTTATATTATTTATTATAGCTTCATTTTACACAGTATTTTTGGCTACACCTATGGAATTTTCAGCATGTGATATCGGTAGCCCAAATTTAGCAGGCCAATCATTGATATCAGGAGTGCGTCGGCAGTGGATCGAATCCCGGACCATGTGCATGGTCAGCAAGCGTCCTAACCACCATACCACCGACGCACTTTATTTATTGTCATTGTTTACTGTACATTTTACCGCAGTGAATTGATTAATCACTTTTTGTATACATACTCACTGAACCTTGATGATCCCTATTCCACAAAGCCTCATTTCAAAGTCTAAGCGAATGTATTTAATCTTAGAGTCCATATGCAAACTGATAACAAGAAGCTCCATCTGACGCCATCAAAACTATGGAATTAAAAGGATAAACAGAAGAGAATATTATATATATATATATATATATTAGTTATCGCGACAATATGAACCAGATATCCGGTGAGTAATTCACTGCTATTCACCAGTGAAATATGCGATGTTTACTTTAGACATTAGGCAGTTAATCAATAAATAGTTCACTGATCATATAATTTATTATTGTCGTAAAACATAAGACGAAAACTTATTTCAAGGATAAGCAATGATTTACTTTGACTATTTAACCTAGAAACATATATAAGTGAATAGAAGACAAAAGAAAGTCAGGTGTGTCTTAAATATTTATGGATTCATCTGTTTTAACAATAACTTTAAAGTAGTTTTATAAAATAATCACATGTAGTACACACGCAAAGACAGAAGAGTTGCATGTTAAATGAGCTTAGTAGTGAGGTATGACTAATACAAAAAGAAAACAACAACATACAATGCTAGTTGTCTGCCTTTCACTATCCAATGAAATATTACTGATACTGCTAACTCCAGTAAAGGTTTCGGACTAATAGATTGAAAAGTTTGTTCAGCATAGTTAAGGGAGGTTTTCTTAACAAAAGTCAGCGTTACCAGAAGGTCATCCTAGTTCTGTATTATAACTGTTAGCAACTTGAAACTTTAGACACTTCTGGAGTCTAATCATCTCTTAGTGTGGATGATACGTTGTATCCCTTAAACACATTTAGAAGCTTAAATAACGAAAAATATCTAAAACAACCAGAGATTTTGAATTTGGCTGAGGAGATATCACGTCTGTTTACAAATCAATACTACTAAGGTAAAAAGTAATCCTTTTGATCCTATAGATGGTTGTTTCACATATGAGAACTGGAATCAAAATGTTTTCCATTATTAATTAGAGAATTTCTTAGTGTTCTGGTGTAACACACTCGTAAATGGAAAGGTGTTAAATTTCTTGTTTCTCGGTAATTTCATACATCATTCTTGTTTGCACACTTTTTAAACAATTATAACTTAATATCGCCCCAATGATTGACTTTTATAATCAAAAGACCAGCTAAATATCTGTGGGAATCTTTTTTATCAAATCAGTCTGTAACTACCGCATATTTCAACATGGATCCATTACATTGAAAAATAAGAAGGACAGGGAACAATTAGAGAGTTAGATGTCAGTTTAAAAGTCAGACAATCAGCTGATTAGTTTGAGAGATGAACATAAATTACGAAGATATTACCTTTCTGGTGATTTATGGTGTCAACAAGTTATTATTACTATTAATATAAATTTATTCATAATTAACACCAGATATACTTACAGTTGAGTTGTTTCTGGAGAAATATTTGCAGGAATTTCGGTTAGATTTCTGTCCGAGCAGTAAACACCATCAGTTCCACACAGACAGTGTGATGGGCATGAGGTTTCATCTAGTGAATAAAATATAAAAAATTTACAATCTAGTTGATCAACTAACTGTACTATTTATTCGAAAAATCATTAACATCAAACCGTAAAACATATTATATCTTTCAAAATAGGCCCTTCTGTTAAAATTACAACATTTTTAAGATTAAACATGTCGGAGTTAGCAAGCTGAAACATTACTGTGAAATGCTTTTTCTATTCTTGAGTTTTATCATTAATATGGCGTGTTTTCAATTAGTTGTAAGCAAATACTTCGATAAAACAGACTACCACAGGACCACTGCTAATTAATTATACATACTGGAAAGATATACGGAAGGTTAACCCGTATTGTGGTGGTATTGTGGTGAAAGATGGTCGCAAGCCAAATTGGTTTACAGTAATTGAGGTCAAAGGTCAAGGTGGACAGGCGAATACAGTTAACATATAGTTGAACTGACACAGCCACAAGATATGCAAGGTTAACTTTGTGTTAGAAGCAACCAATCAACAGACTGTATTTTCCACTAACATTGACCTACAAGAATGTACATAAAAATCTATAAATACGTGTTGATTTTCCATAATAAACGATCTGTTGCCTGGCCCTTGTCTTCTGTTGTTACAGTATGATACAGACAATGTGTTCCAACGGAACATCATTCTCACATATTCCCACAGTTCAAACTGCGTTAGCAACAGAATACTATAGTGTATTTGAACATAATATTTCATGTCGTTTCATGTAAGCTAAAATCACACGCTCAATGATTGCTTAGAGAATATAAAACTGTATAGATTTCAATAGCAGTTTGATCCCTTAAAAATATACCTTGGCTTCCGTGTCCTGCCTTTTTTTGTTACATTATGTCTTGACCCTATATTTTATAGTCTGAAGAATTTATCCGCTTCCATCTTGTCAGCGTATTAGAATTTTTACACTGAAGTTAACAACTTTCATAAAGAACTTTAAAATACTTTTGAATGTCCAAGATGTTCTTTACCAAGAATAACTTAAAACTTCACTTTGAAAGTGGTATTCATTACTACTTCACAGGTGGAAGACATTTACTGATATTTTTTTCTGCAATACTTGTGAAATCATTTAACCTTATGTAGGGGTCAGGAATAAGGAATGGTCAAGAAGTACAAATGTCAGTCAGAAAGATTTAACCGTGACCACAGTACTTTAATCAATATCGCGGAATTGCCTGAAAAACTAGGAACGCTTTTGAAATATTGTAAGATAATACTTTAAAGAATTAAAAATATCTTGTTTAAAGTATGAAACTCGAAAGATGAAACATCCAATAAGTGTTTAAATCAAGATATTAACTTTGAAGTCATCATGAATAGGTTCAATGACTACGCTGAAGATTTATCAACAAGAAATACTTGCCAGACAAATATAAACTAGCACTGAATCCTTTTTGGAAAGACAAGAATCCGTAGGAACTCAAGTCACTTTATTTCAGATGCACTTTGTTGAAAAAAGCAAATTAAGACGTATGAACCCTAAGGGATATGGTCTGTTACACGTCGAAATAAAACTGAAAGCATATGAAAGACATTTAAACCGAGGAAACATAAATGGAGGTACAGTAAATTATTGAAGAGTAATAATTACTGCAAACTAGAACTAAGAGCACTTTACTGAAGATATTCAATTAATGATCTCAGTTATTTCAGCCATAGGAATACAACTACCTGATGTGATTCAGGGAATCAAATATCATTTATAACAAACAGTTCAACGCTTTAATTAAATGTGATACATTTGTAGAGCTAAGTTAATTGGTTGGTTTTCTCAGGGATTACATTTATTACAAGCTAGTAGCCAGAAAGTAATACAATACAAGTCACTTATTTATTCAGTACTTAGGCGCACTGTATTTTACAACTTCCTCAGGTATTGTTCTGCTTTGATTACAGTTTAAAAGGGATAGTAGATTTCATGAGAACTTGTTAAAGCTCCTCTAATGCGTTTAGAAATGACAGTGTATGCATTTTCCTACTTCTGAATAATCAACCAAAAGTACAATATATTAAAAAAATCACTTCTAAGATCTAATGTGTGACTTCAATAAAGTCACTTCTGACCAACAGTATTCTTAACAACGTACAAAAAGTCATAGTAGAGACATTGAAATGCTTACCTTGTATTTCTTCACAACAGCCCACCTCTTTTATGCTACAGTATGAATTAATTGTTGATTGAACTGTCCTGTCGTCATTTTCATTAAAATTTTCATTATTCAAACAATTCGACATGGATGTATTACACGTGAAATGATAACGTGATAAACTAGCCACTGGTGTACCAGCTAAATCTTCTGATGATATGCATACAGGTGGTAATGGACCTTCATTGACTTGATTCGCATTATTTCTCAACCAGTCAGGTAGCCAACTGAGATGACAGTCACATTTAAATGGATTGGCACTTAAACTTCTGTAAGGATTAACGATTTGATTGTTTATTTGTTATTGATTGAATGAAGAAGAGAAATTACTATTTAAGTTTATGTTAAAATATATTGGTCAACACATTGGTGAGAAACAAAATTGGCCTTGATATGCTTAATTTATGTCTACAGATCTTTGGTTTATTTGAAGGTCCTGCAGGCGAACTGATGAGGAGTTTCACAGTAGGGCGAAACATCTGTTCAGTGCTCCCTGATTTTCTAAATCATGTTGGTTAGTGACGGAATTTTCGTTGAAACTAATCCAAATCCTTACAAAACTCATAGTCTAAATACTAAGTAGGAATTAACATTACAATATTCCTATCTGTCCTTAATGTACTATTTATTTCACTTTTTATGTTGTTTTCTCAAGTCCCTCTGTCATGAACTTTTGACTCTTTAATGGACTCACACACTGGGGTTCAAACCCAAGACCTCCCGGTCACGAGACGAGCTCGTAGATGATTAAGCCACTGGGTCCTGACCTCAAGCCAAGGTCCACTTCTTTGACTTAGTTATTACTTAATTCACTGGAGTATGTTAACTGAATAAAAACATGTTTAGAAGACAATGAAGACCATGTTTGTGAACTTTGGACTTCTAGATGACAGAAAAAAGGATAGTAAGGACAGGGTGATTGAAACCTTCTACAATATCTTTTCCTCATCTTAGTTCTCAGCGCCTTGTTATTTTGCACACATTGATAGATGATTTCTCTGCCTTTTCCCTTCAACTGCTTGTTGATTCCGATTTATTCCGTTTCAGCGGTGCGACGTAAAACTAGATACAGAGCAGCTACTACAGCCTTTATAGCGAAAAACCATTGTGTTATTCCACCTCAAGGTGTGCACTTTGTATAATATTTCAAACAGTCGGAAGTCTCTTTTCTAATACTCCAATTTTTATAGCGTCTTATGATTTCTTTTAGGATAAAGTTAAAAGCTTAGCGAGGAAGATTTCTGAGTAAATAAACCATTAATTCATGTTACATAAACAATGTGATATTCAGGAGAGAAAAATGATTTGTCATGAGGACAAGAGTATTTAAATTAATCATTCATTAAAAATAACCTCGTTAAATGGCGAGACAAATGAAAGTTAACCAAATCAAACTTACAGTGATTCAAGACTCAGTCCAGTGAAGATCCCTTTGGCTATACATCTCAATTTATTGTTATTTAGCATCCTAAAAAGATATATAAATATAGTTAATTGATGGATTTTTTCACGTCTTAGTGAATTCAAAGTTAGTTTGGTAAGAAACTGACATAAACTATTTAATCGCTGAGCGTCAAGGAGAAATTGACAGAAAATGGAAACCACAGAACATTAAATTCTGACAGATTTATTGGCTTATTGTTAATGTAGTGAACTTGTTACCCGAAGAGCCTTTAAACGAAAAACGAGGCAGTTATCATGTAATTCTTGATTGCCAGATGTTGTGTGTTTGAAATCGTTTGGTGATGTGATGAATATTTGGAAAAATATTTCCACTTGTTATGGGAATGAAAGAGGAATGAACCCTAATGCTTAAATAATTGTGCAAAGTGTTAGTTAACCGTCTTTATTTCTAATCAAAAGGAGATAAAATTAGCAGTGAGAGTGTGATTGACTGATGTTTTGGTTCTACAGATGTCATTTAAAATTCGAAAATAACTGTTCGTGAGTTACAGCCATCTTATAATTAACGTTTTTTAAAATATAGACTTGTTTAGACTGAGAAATTGTAAATTATTGGAAGGTGTATGGTCACCCTCACTTATTTCACTGTTGATGATAATTCTCATTGCGAAGCTCATCGTGAACCTTTAAAAGTCCAAATAAAAAAGCTGAGCGACTTTTAAGAGAAAGTTCTGTAAACAGATTTTATTAAGAGACGACTGCATCCATTGAAAAATCAAAGACCACTGAATAGCTTTCTCGTCTTTTATTTAGGATCGTTCAGGGACCAGCTACCTTGACGAGCGTCTAAGTAGATACCGTAAGTGAACAAAGCGAGCACTTTACCATTCATCCACTTCATCAAATGGAATTAAATTGTGCGTGGTTTCCACAACTGTGATTTCGTATTACGGAATTATCCATACCCACGATCACCAGTTATTAGGCTATTTCTAATATCCTAGTGACTTGAATTATTCAAGTTTTGACAGCCTCTTTCTCCAGGTTAATTACTGACGGACGTTGAATGGACGCCGAAGTATCCAATCTAGGGAGACGCTGACTGCTTTTAAGAGAATTTCAATGCCTTAAGGGATAGAGCAGCCCTTCAGTAATACTTGGATTCTGTTAAATTTTAATAAATTTTACAATATATATTGTTCTTTCTGTTAAAACCTCATGGAAAGAACTAATTTTAAGTACTTCAGGTATACCTGACTACTAACGAAATTCATCTGTTATTCAGTCGAAACCCTGTTAATGCCAAAAACTTGGTGAAAATACTAGTCAATAATAACCTTTCACTCATATTCTTAAACCACATTTCTCTGAGAGGTAATTTCATCATACAAAGTATGTATTTATCAGGAAAATGACGGGTGAGAGGTAAATTAGAGACTATGATACTGAGTAATCTTAAATGTTTCCTAGTACACAGGTAGACGGTTCTACAGACAGATTTGTACCATATACACGTGCATTATTAGTCCAGTGACTTTTCATGGAGATTTTAAAAACGTTCACAATGTGCATATATTTATTTCGGATCTATTGATTATTCGTGAGGTGAATAGGATGTACACGACACTGAATTCAGTTTACAGTAGCTCATAACTTCTCAACAAATACTTCTTTCTTTTGATTGGACACCAGTTACTAGTGTGATGTGTCAAGTCCTTTCTTTGGTGCAGACTGAATTCTATCAGTCAGGTTTGCAATGTGGCCACCATTCTAATTAGCTCGCCATCACGGTGTACATTGATTTGATGATATTAGATGGTTGGAGGCAATCGGCCACAGGAAGCCTTCCAACTAGGTTTCGTGCTAGTTGGCACTCACCAGTCAGCAAGGCATATCTGTAATCTTGAAGGAACTCATGCCCCTTCTGAGATTCGAACCCGCGTCACCCAGTGCTGCAGTCAGAGACGTTACCACTGAGCCATTCGGGATCGCGACTGACCTCCTCTAGGACTGTATTGGGTACTTTGATTGGACACTAGTAACTAGTGTGATCTGTTTAGTCCTTTCTTTGGTGGAGACTGAATTCTATTAGAGGGGTTTGCTTGTTTCTTTCAGCAAGTGTGATCTCCTAGGAACTGGTTGAAGGATTTGTTTTCCTCTCCTGATTATCAGATGGTCGTCAATATAACGCGTATCCTGAAACGCCTAAATACAGTCGACAATAATTTCAAATCATTGCGTACAATAATCAGTTGTCAAAAATCAAAAATCTTTCACTTAGTCGACCACAAATTGTCGTACAATTCATTGCTCATCATACACTGGAATTTGTTCACCCGAAGTGTGGTTGTTAAATCTATCACCGTGCTTTCATAATGCAATTCTTCCATTTGAATCTTTTATTCCATTATGAAGTATTGAACTTTAGACTCTTTTCAGACCGTTACAGAAATGAAAGCATTCATCTCTTGGGTGCAAGCTGGGATTTCATTCCTCTTAGAGTTAATCATTTTGTTTTCTGCATTTAATTAAAGCTTAGTATATAAATATGAAGTGTGTAAAAGTGATGAAAACAAACTTACAGTATCTTCAATGCTGGAACTTGATTAAATGTTCGATTATTTAAACACTTTATTTGATTATGTTGAAGTAATCTGTAACACACAATAAACACAACTGATATTCATTTGGGAAAAGTGTGAAAAGCATAATGCAGAAAATAATTTTTGAAACAGACAAACTTACAAGATTTCCAAATTATTCAATCCCTTGAAAGTATTTTCTTCTACTTTCGTCAGTGAGTTGTTACTGAGAATTCTGTTTTTTTTTAATAAGAGAGACAGTGATTTGTACATTAATTCCATGAATATAATTATTAAGAGGAAATAGAATAGTTAACAATAAAATTGTTTTGTTATTATGAAATACTTTGCCTTTATGTTTATCTTGTTTCTGTGAGACTACACGAGGGAAGTTCTATATCTTCTAACGACTGTTTCCCAAACGCCAGTTCATTTATTATGCGTGGAATACAAGTTAGATTTGAATCACGTGATAGCGCAAAATCTCAGTCTCTTAGCCTGGAATTTATTGGTTCAAATACAGCTAAAATGTTCAGGCTTACTTCTGATTCCCGTAGTTAACTTTATAAATAGTATAAAGCCCTTGTAATCATAAAAAATTTACTTGTTGTAGTATAAGTAAATTGAAATAGGCTTTAAGTGTGAATAAAATTTAATACTTACAGTTATCATTTGTTGTGCGGTCTTTTTAGTTTCAAGGATGATTCTATCACGAATTACAAGTAGCCAGATAACTAAGGGACAGTGGAAATCTATTTCTTTCTAGTTTTGCATTTCCAAACATTGCACAATGATAACTTCGTCAATAACTGAATCTACGATAGATGGTTTATGCTAATATAGCATTTTGCCATTCGAACAGTGGACTGAGTTTCAGTATCTGAAAACTATTAACTTCTACATCATCTATATGAGGTACAACCCCCATTAAAAACCCATATAGAAATCAGTTAAATTTAACAATTCGGAGGTTCTATGAAAAGATTGTAGTAGTGAATTTTTCTCATTGTAGTTTTGACTTGGTTACGATAACTGAAATACCTGTAGCTGCTTAACTTTTTCTAATTTATGGAGACGATTACTGAAACCGAAAAGTGCATTCAGTTGTAGCAGCACTTGAATGAGGGATATAACAGCAAGGTTGTGAAGTCCACAAGAGTACAGTTTGGGTTAGGTGTTAAACATGGAAACATTGTTCACAACTTTTGTTTCAAACGATGCATTGTGAAATATGCATAACTTTGGAGTACGGTCTATGATATATTATGCTACTCATCTCTTCGTCTTTTCACTAGTCCGTAGTATCTACTTGCTTCACTTCTAACCACGCCGCATCCTTCGGATTTTACAGGAACCTCTCATCCTCATCAGAAGACTATTCTACAACCGGTGCACAGCTTCTACTAGTAGACATGACTCCAGCAGTGAATGCTTCTGTGGATTACATTAATAAATTGTAGCAGAGGACTTTAACTTTATCATCAAGTAATCATTAATTTCTATAATTCGTTAGCTGCATTTCTTCTAATATGCTGTTACGCTAACATTTCATTAACTTGGATTTTTATTCTAATATTTGTGCCGTTACCGACCTTACTATTAAGTCCCCTACAGGGTTCGTGATTACGTTTCATTGTGACCAATCTCTTTGTTCCTAATATTAATAATCATTTATGTATTTCATTCTTTGTTAACTCTCTGTTCTGCTTCCTAACAATAAGTTATATGGTTCTGTAGTGAGCTGAAAATGATCTTCTACTTTGTCAATTTCAGATAACAGAAATCTTTTTTGCATGAACTGAGACAAGAAATATATGAACCACTGAAAATATAGAATGCAGATGGGTCAACATTTCAGCCTAACTCCAAGTGTTTGAAAATTATGTTAGAGGTGTTGATGGTAAAACATTCTCAAACTTTTGTTATATAAGGATGATAACATCTACTTTGACAAAGAACCAGGTAATCTTTACCCTCGTATCTTTAGCCCAAAGTTCATAAATTTTTCATTTTGCATAACTTTCACAAACTCTACTCTGATGGACAGCGTCAGCTTAATTGTAGCCTGTCGATGTAAATGCATATGAATATGAATGTAAATCAACATAGAAGACTTACAGCTTTTTCATGTTGAAGTTTCCTTTAAAAGATTTCGGTTCGATATGTTCAAGTTCATTACCATCCATGATACTAATTATTAATTGAAGTAGGTCATGAATTCAGGAAAAGAAGGAAAGAGAAACACTTTTCTAAACATTTCATAAGCAGTAAAAGATATATACATCTTGCTGTAACAAAACAGAAGTAATACTGCAAATGTATGACAGTATTACATTGGAAGAAATCAGGCATATAAAAGAGGATCTAAAACAAAAACCCAGTAGTTAGGACTATGACGTTAACGGACGGCAAGTAAGTGACAGCTAGATCTCACGGTTTTATCTTACTCCTGTATCAAAACCTGATGTCAGCTGTGACTTAAAGTCACCTTGAAATATCACCTCTTTATAGCCAGTTCAGTCAATCAAACCAAGTTTATCATTGGTACACAGACACAGTCTATTGATGTGGGCTACTTCCGAGGTAGGGGATTGGATTCTACCCCAACTCATTAACATCTTAATCACCTTGCCTACTATAATTTTGTTCTCTAGTTTCATATGAACAATTACTTTTACACAGAATTCTTTAAAATCAGTCTATTTTTATCAAAATTAAAAACAAACATTTATTGCTGATTTTTATCTCTACGCATCAGGGAAAAAACAAGAGGTGTGTAGCTTCACTATTAACTTACGGAAGCCTATTTATCTGGTTGAAAATCAACATTGGAGAGCAAAATAACAGCTTAATATTACCATAAACTAGAGTTTGTCTATTGTAGAATATAATCAGCAAGGCTGGATTTCACTTTGGCCTTAATAGTGTATACAGAATTCTGATTTTTGTCAAAGGGGTAACCAAGTGACTTGATATACAGATGCATACAAATCTGTGAAAATAATTAAAACACCTGAGCGAAGGATAGATAGAAAAGCATATGTCTATTCCCCAATCTAATCTCCTAATAAAATTATTCTCATACTTATTTAGCTATACGGACCACCCATAGATAATACCATGTATACCTGAATTCGTATTTTATAAAATCTCCCTTATACATTATATTTATAAAGAGGTATGCGTGTTTACTGTGGAACATAGAAACAATCCTTTATACGTCCATAAAAAGTTTATATTTTTCCACGCTTTGTTATTGTACTTAATATCATCCTGTAATCTACTTTTATTAAACTATATTTTTAATTACATTTACTCTCACTTTTTTAAGATATAGACAGGCTGTTGTTTAGCGCTAAGGCTTTTATTGTAAATCATACGCCATATTGTGAGAGTAAACAACAAATGTACAGAGGTAAATTCGTTCGTGACAAATCACCGACATTCTGTTTCATCTGCCTTTCACCTACGAACGATAAGACCTTATTTTGCTTTGTGTTTGCAGGCTTAAAATATATATGTCAAATATATATATATTTATATATTCAGTACAATCTCTGAGTGACATGTGACCAACACATGTTTTGCTGTTTTCATTTAGATGTAACAGTAAAAATTTCCACTAGCTATTAATTAAATGTGATTAACATATGTGGTCAGCTTTTGTCACTGGACCAACAGCTTATCACTCTGAAACAGCTGGAATAAGAATAACTATTATAATGTCTAGCCAATCACCTAATGTGGCTATTTATGCTGTGTTCAACGAAATTAAAGGACAGAATAAATTGAAATCATGCCGTCAGTAAGTGTGCAGTGTAGGAATTCGTTCATTAAGATTGAAAGCCAACTGAACTGAAGGACAAAATGAATAACCTTTAGGCGATGTGTATTATCTAGTGGGTCTAGAGTGTGTTTGCTCAGGTTTTACTTTGTCGTAGAATTCTTTTTCCAATGGTCACGAAATACTAGATTTATTTTCTCCTGATCTACTATTTTCTCAGCTTAATTTTTTCGGAAACATAGACAAGGTTTATCCAACCAACAGAAATTTAAAACACAACCAGAGTTGTGTGAATCATTAGCCTAATTTTTCTCACGAGGTAAACATGAGCGTGTGAAAAACCTGAGTGTGCATCTGTTTCAAATGGAGACAGAAATATTGAAAATTTAAAATTCTCAAGAGTTGATTTGTACGGATTTGATTTTTTTTCAAGTACGACCAGGGATTGATATAAGATAGAGAACCACTGAAAACCAAGATGTACTGGACAGATGTTTCACCCTAGTGCCGGCGTTCGATCCCAGGACCTTCCGGTTACAAGGTGACCTGGTAGACCATTAAGCTACCGGGACCCGAATCAATGGCCCATGAATTGTGACGTCTACTAATTCTTGATTTTAGCGTGACGGAGTTTCATGGAATTCCAGTGGGAAATCGTGACCAGTGGGGTCCATCTTGTCAGGAGTGAGGACAGATGTTCGTCCATGACATTGACTAATGGTCGCGCCAGAATCACGAATTGATAGAAGTTAGAATTCAATGGTCAGTCAGCAGTCTAGATGCAAGCTGTCTGACTGGATGACTGAATGACAAAGATTCGAATTTCCTGGGAAATACAAGTTTTTAAGGATTTCAAACACACTGATAATTACTGTGAATGTGCTTGAAACTCAGACGACGTATAGCTGACTACCAGCCAATTCTCAGCGTTTAATAACAAATTATTTAATACCTTATGAAAATTATTCATCCATGTATATTTATACAAGTCGTAAAATCTTTTCACTCATTTTTGTTTTATTATGTTAGCCAAATAATAAACGTTTCAGATAAAGACTTATTCACATACATTTTAAAAATAAACGATAAGAGTTATCATATTGCAGGTGTTCATTGAAAGTAATACAGTTAAACAGATTGTATTGGGAAAGGATTATTTTTCCTAGCCAAATAAATTTATTGTTATACTAGCAAACTGTCAGACATCATTATCCAAACAGTTAGTAAATTATTGTTTTTATTATTTCGTTCCTTTGTGTCCTGAATGGAACCTAAAGGTTTAAGCTTCAGCTTTGAAGTGTCATTAGCAGTCGCGTTGTTTTACACTCAACCTTCTCTTTTTACTGGGCCTACTACCAGTTCATTGAAGTTTAAGAGTGATTCGGCAGAGGATTGAACCTCGAACCCAATGCGTAGTTGGCGAGCATTCTGTCACTGAACACCATTAGTAAAAATATCCGAAATTGTTGTAATCGTTTCAAATTCAATCGAACTAACATTTCCATTTGTAAAGAAATCATAGAGGACTATTGAATCAGGTTTTCAGGGTCTATTTTTAACAGTTGCTAGTAAGATTTATTTAAAAACAAGAGTAAGTCTTTACAGTTCCTCTTCGGAAACCCGTAACACACGTAGTTTGGTTACACAGTCCATTGTGCAGATCAAACTATTATTAGTTTGTTGTTGGGAAAACATGTCAGTAACCTCTATTCTTTATTCCCTTCTTATAATTGGCAAACTGAGTATTCACATATATTGAGGGATATTGGCAGTCAACAGAATGTCTATGCGTCATTAATTCAATCTGCACAGTGATGTCAAGACCCCTAGCTTTATTCAAATAACAATAACCACTTCACTATGCATTTATAAGTCTAACTGTTCATTTGGAGACAGTTACACAGGGCGAACGACTCGGCAAGCCCACCGTCGCCTTCTGAAGCATTGTCCAACATGATTAGGTAAACGAGTCGTAAAATCGAGCAGAAGTTTCACACTGGCACACTTGATGGATACGGAGCACTAGACTGACAAAAATTCAGCTTTTACAATTCGATGCAGAGTGCCACCTCAACTCCATAGGTTGGTACGTCTTCAGTTGCTAAGCATAGCTGAGGCAGTTACCATAATGATTTTTCAACCCAATCTCTGTGTTCAGAAAAAGTTTGTTCAATCTCTCTCCCTCCCCTGGCCTTCGTCCTCAACCTAAAATAGTTATCTCTTCTGGTGAAAGCGGGAAACTGTAAATATAATCTCATTTTTATTTTATTTGTAATGCTAACTGCATTATCAATATCATGCTGTGTTGTAGTTGTACATTTTATTTTCGGTTTAACGATTTATCATTATTATTTTATATTATCTAATTGCTATATGACAATAGTTAGTTTCCCCTCTACCTCCACTAGTATACACATTCTACCTATACACTCACCATTGTCTAGATTATATAAACACTTGAATGAATTTATCCTTGTTATTATTATTATGATCACCTCAATTGTTATCCATTAATTCAAATCCCTGAACTTTGTTCCTGTATTCTATTAACCACATTAATTTAAATACCTATGACTAGTATTTCACTATGTAAATGTAACACCTGATGAGAATTTACCGAAAATACTTATTCGCCGATATCGTGTTCTATAATTACCATAAAATCTGTATGCTGAAGGCACCCTATATTTGCATACATCATACACAGAATGGTCTTGTGTGAAATTATCTTTAATGCAAAGTTTTGACATGAAATAGATTTCGTTGATTTTTAAAGGCAGTTAGAAAGTCAAGGCATTAAGGATTACTAGGTAAGAAAGTGTCTTTGTGTCATTACCATCCGTCTGATATATTGTTTGAATCAGTAGTTAAGGTATGTATACTACCTCTCTCTAGTTAAGAAATCAATTTTCATAGTAAATTGGAAATCAAAATCGAATACTTAATTACTATTCACATTTTAATAATCACCTATAATGAAGTCAGGGTTTAATTTTCACCTGATAAATTTCCCAACAAATTTCTCACAGAAGGAGATATCACACAACGTAAAAGCGTGAAAACTAGGTCTTGGCTTAGTGGTTTATCACAAAGCCATAGCGTTTTGTCTACTGATAACGTGACCATGGTAATCTGAAGGAAATTTTTCCTCTCCCTGACTTCATTTACTTAAATCTATTGACGCTTATTCTTTGAGCCTTGGTATCACTAGTAATAGTAATGATGATAATATTAACAGGAGTAGTAGAAGTAGTATATTCTGTATACCCAGCTATATGAGGCAGGTGAAAAACAGTAGAATTATACTATTCAGTTCAGCAGGTCGCATGATGTGAATACGAACAATAAATTGTTCTGAAGACATCATCAGGCAGAAACTATTGGGTGGGGTCGCGCTAAATCACGAACTGGTAGAAGTTAGAATTCATGGGCTGGTCACTGAATCAGCTCCCAGTAGTTGAATGCTATACGAGCTTACCTTGTAACCGGAAGGTCCTGGGTTCGAACCCTCGCGGTGGGTGCGTACTGCCGATGATTCCCAAAACTAGGATGAAACAGCTGTCCAGTACTCCTTGGTTTTCAATGGTTCTCTAACTGATATCAATCTGTGATCAACTCGTAAAAATAAATCTAATCCTTACAAAACAATCATAGAAACTATTCTGCCTAAATACCCAGTTTCGGGCTGGTGAAACATGAAAACATCTCATTCCATCTGTATATACTTGAATCCATATGAAACCTTTAAACGAAGCAGAAGGTGAGCATAAGTCTTTGTGCATAATTATTTCAGACTACCAATAATTGGTGCACAATTTTTTTAACAGTCTGTTTTGTACACAGTTTTCATCTACATAAAATGTGTCGAATAATGATTACAAATCTGTTTTTTGTATTGTACAGTTGACAATTAGAGGTCATTGTTTACAAACTGACATCATTTCCACATATAGTTATAATGACCTTACCCTTAAGATTTATATCTTATTGTGAATTTTATTTTATTTTAGTGTCTGAACTTTGTATACAGTATTCCATTTAAATATGATTAATCTTCATGTCAAGACTACCATTATTTGTAGTTAACTGTGAAAAATAATGTCTTGTATACCATATGAAAGTGCTATGTTTGTTGCTTTAAACTAAGAGGTAACCTTAATACATTTAACGGTATATACATATTCATGACCCCTGAAACAGTCGATTACGGCTTTATTGACTAAAATATTACGGTCAGACTATCTGTCATTTACCTTTTCCATGAAAAATGGTCATTGAGATAATTTAAATCTCATTTATCAGTTCAGGCATATTTGTAAAAGTAAATATGTTGGTTACACAGACATATATTTGTCTAACCTTTTTGGCTGAATATTCACCCAAATAGTTAAACCAAAGTCTTAAACTGACTGTAGACACTTTATTGATGACATGAAATCGATTGTCATGATCATCAGTTCATGAAGCAAGAAAATAGTCATATCTCAAGAAGCCTGTAGGATTCCAGTCGATAGATCAAGTTGTTGGACAAAAAAAGATAATTACTCTTAATCACCAAACATAAAATACCCTTTGTGATACGAGTGTTCTGTTATTACTGTTATTATCACTATTACCTATTTCACCTCTCTCTTGCTCCACCTGCCATGTATTATTTGTTTACGCTATCTGTAATAGTTCGCATTGTTTCTCGTATATTTTCAATTCATTTATTGATACAGACTACAGGTATATTATACTACTGTTCATTTATACTGGTCTCACTGTACTGGCTTAGTTAGAGGTTTTGAATCGTTGATATTAGATGTTTGAAGACAATCAGCAGGAAGCCTTGGACCTAGGTTTCGTGCCAGTTGGCACGCACCAGTCAGCAAGGCGTATCTTCAATCTTGAAGGGACTAATGTCCCTTCTGAGATTCGAACCCGTGTCATCCAGTGCTGCAGTCAGAAACGTTACCACTGAGCTATTCGGGCTCAGACTGATAGAATTCAGTCTGCACCAAACAAAGGAGTAGATACACTACACTAGTCACCGACTTGTATCCAGTCGAAATTAGTTTAATGCCATTACCAAGCATCTTATTAGAACCATGATATTTTTCAATGTAATCACTCTTTATAGTTTTTAGCATTCTAAAGCTATTATTTTAAAGTTTTTATACTCAAGTTGTTATACTATATTATTTACTTTTGGTGTGTTGTGATGTTATGGTGCCTATTTCTGAGCAGTGTATAAAAAACGATTTGTCGGACACGTTTTAGGAACATAAACTTAAGCTTTATTTGAAAAACACAACAATTTTTACATGCAGCCCATCTTCAACAGTTTTTTTTTTAAGATTTAATACGTTTCAAGTAGTTGTATATATTCAAATGAACTGTCGTCAAGATTTGACAGAATAGTTCTAAAATATTTGGGCGCCGAGTGAGAAGTAGACATTTGTAAAAAATTATATTTGTAAACTCTCAGCGAGATTGAAATGAGTAATTCCAACGTTTCGTTCGGCAATCTGGTCCGAACTTCTTCAGGGAAATTAATCGAAATTAACATAAAAGAGGTTTATATATAAAAGGAACAACACTTGTTTTTAAAAACTTTGTCCAATCATGAGTCATTCAACAAGTATAATAAACAAAATTTTATGAGCTGTGATCAAAATTTGAGCTCGGACTTACAAATATTGGTCTACCTTTGTTAAACACTTTAAACAGAGTGTCTATGTGTGTCTACTTCTCACTCGGCGCCCAAATATTTTAGAACTATTCTGTCAAATCTTGACGACAGTTCATTTGAATTATTTTGCAATCGAATTAAATTAACAAAGAAACTGTGTAATTGGCACAATCATCGTGTTTTCACTCTCCGTTGTCTGCAACAGAATGCATATCCTAAATCCGTAGCTATCGAGTCACCTGACAACTCCAGTAGGTCGAATAAAGCAGCTCAATCTTCAGAAAGAAGACAAAGCAATAAGTCCGACAGGGTGCTTCTACTAAACTCTAATCCTAAACACCATAATTTTGAAAATACGTCTAATCATAAAATTCTAGATACTAACAGTTTGAACAGACATGAAGGCGTGATGTTAGCTGATACATAGGAAATCCTTATTAATAAATAAAAATGGATGTGTATCACTAATTATTAATACTTGGTCAAAATTCTCGACTGTCCATATCTTCTTATGGAGACGTTAAGAAATGTTTTACAACTGTTTACCCAAACACACATACACACTTTGTTTAAAGTGTTTAACAAAGGTAGACCAATATTTGTAAGTCCGAGGTCAAATTTTGATCACAGCTCATAAAATTTTGTTTATTATACTTGTTGAATGACTCATGATTGGACAAAGTTTTTAAAAACAAGGGATGTTCCTTTTATATATTAACCTCTGTTATGTTAATTTCGATTAATTTCCCTGAAGAAGTTCGAACCAGATTAAATCGAGTTCTCATTGCTAAATAGGTTATATTAACCGAAACATCATCATTTCGACGGAGATTTTCAATAATTTTTCAGTTAACCTAATGTACTTCTAATTTTCATTAAAATTCAACGTATCACTCAGTGAAAAGTTTTTTGAGATTTGTCGTAAAATCGATGAACTCTGCACCGAAGTTCGCTTTGAGAATCTAGCTTATGATATACTTCATTTGACTCCATGTTTGAACAAATACCTAGAACAGTTACCTGATTTCCTCATAAAAGCCGTAAAATAAATACAAATACATTTTCCAGGGCTCACACTTTCCTATTATTATAATAAATAAAATGGCTGACACATCTTCAGTAGAAAAAAGAGTGGTCCTGTTGGTAAAACCAGACAGCGTTTCAGATGTGATGGTGGCAAAGCTATCTTTTAATATCAGCAATTTAGCGAACATAATATCTGACGAAGAAGAATTAATCAAGTCAACTGACAAGGAAGATATTTGGAAGAACAAAAAGTCTTCTTAAGGAATTCCCGGAGAAAATAAATCAACAATTAAAGTATTGGTTTGTAGGGATTTGGTTGATTGGTTACAGGATTTCATCATGAGCTGACATATGCTAGAAAACCATTGGTAAACCTAGGAGTACTGGACAGCTGCTTTCTCCTAGTTTCGAACTCTTCATCAGTACGCACCCACCGGGGTTCGAACTCAGCACCTTCCAGTTACAAGGCGAACTCTTAGACCATTAAGTCACTGGGACCCGATCCAATGGCCCATGAATTCCAACTTCTGCCAATTCCCTTGAACTACTACGAAAATATATGGCAAATATAGTCTTAAAAACACTGACGTCATCATTTGAGTAAACGATATAAATGTGTACAGAAGGTGTGACTTTTCTTTTCATAAACAATCCCCTGAATGAGACTATACATACTTCATATATGACTAGGATAAATCCAACAACAGAGAAATTCTTCTTTTCATCAGCTGTTTAAACAAGAAACTTCTCAGTAGCATATTTCACATCTAATTTATTCTCAACGAACATTTCCACATAAAAAGAATAATGTGAAAAAAGGATTCACTTGTAGCATAATTTAAGGTGACCGTTTCATCGCCAAAATTTCCCTCATCAAGCAAATCTGTCTTTATCAAAGGTCTATCGATTAGATCCATACTAAAATTTCTGAAGAATATGTTTTGAATAATCTCTTTAGTACTTTCAGTCCTGCTGTTTCACTTATAACTCTTCCTCTGGAATGTCCAGAGGTCTATATGAAAAAACAAACACAAGCTGGAAAGTTGCTTAAAATCTAAAGCTATAACTTATTGAACTGGGAATTGCTTCCAAGAATGAGTAAGTTTTATTCTGGAGATAAAATAGAAGGTGAACTGAAAGTGCTACATGATATCTGAATAGAAAACATATCTACCGATGTCTACTGACTGTAACATACAGAAGTAGCTACAAAACCTTTAGATTATCTTTTGCCATCCTGGAGTTGAGGTATGACATTTAGGGAAGAATTCATAGAAATCATCTCCGTAGGAAAGATTCCACTAAGATCTTCTGCGGAATATATTCATTACTAGAAAGTAAACATTTCCAAGTTACTGAATACAGGATATTGCTTCTGTCCACCTTACTCTATGCAATTGATATAACTTGTTCATTTAGCACTAAGTACGCCAGCTTTCTTAAGTACACTTTGGAGCTGTTTTCAGTCTAGTGATCCACAGGAGGAACGGGGATTCTCAGTAGTCCAATTCTGCTGCATTTTACCATTTCTGTACATTTGGCTTCATATTTATCTTTAGATTCTATCAATAATATGTCAAGGAGCCCTGACTATGTCATTTATATGTGTTCAAGTGTTCGACCTCCAAGTCTGAAAGTAATGCGTACACTCATTGGTCTAAGTGGTATTTATACTAGACTTTTTTCAAACTGTACACTTGCTTTTTATATACATATTCCACTAAAGTCCAGCCCCTATGACATCTTTTGTACATCAGGAAGGACTGCACCATGTTAATAATACCTCTTTCTGTTCTCTCTGTTTGAATTAGGTGTTGCATTCTTCGACGCTTATGAACAAAGTATTTCAGTAGCTCTCAGGGTTCTGATAAACCGTCAAAAATGCAAACACAAGAGAACTGAGTGACCTGAGTTTGGAACAGTGAGAGGCAATAAGTCTATGGGAACCAGAATTAAGCATGGGTTCAAGATTTCTTGCAGACTGCTTTCAACCATCTGACTATAATTGAGTACGCACTGCCATAACCAATCTCTCAAACAGATTACCAAGTTGCTTATATGACTGATAGAATCAACACTATTGTCTATGTGATGTAGCCTCAAAAATGCCGCAAATGCCACGTTATAGTACGGTCCTATATACTACATTATATTATTATATTATGGTCTTCACTGAGGATCAGATATACCTTAAAAACCAGGTCAACATATTTAAATTTATAAAGTTTATAGGTTTATATTAATGAAAACAGTAGTAGGAAACACAGATCACACTTCCATATCTGACATGAGAAAAATAGCAAAAATAATAATAATAGACATGAATAAATGTATGATATTCGCTTTATATGGTGACTTACAGGGTTTCCAGATTTCTCAGCTTAATTAGACCAGAGTTAACTGTGATAGATTTGATTAAATTATTCCTCAGATTTCTGCAAAGATAAGAGAAATAGAAAAAAAATTCAATAGTTTTATTCGAAGACAACGTGTTTAGAGGTCTGAAACCTAAGTTTACTTACATTTACTTGTAACTGCAGTAAATGATTTTATTAATCCAAAATAATTTCATTCTTTTGTGATGCATCGACTTTTTGAACATAGGCTTATGCAAATCAAAGGAAGTGGCAGCATTCATGACCTAAATCCTAATGAATATCATTTTTAGGTTCGAAATGATCAGTTCATACGATGAATCACAGTGTGAACAATATCACTTTTCAGGATGATAGTATATTCAAATCACAGTTCTACATGAATAGACACCAGTTCTCTGGATTCCACTTCTAACAACCACAATAAGGAGTAAAATATTGATCTCTCAGTGACGCTCAGATCTCAACATTTTTTTTAACTATGAGAGGTTCCTAAATAAAACTGAGGGAAGATAAAAAACACTTCAATGTCTACAAAAGAAATCCTTTCAAACATATGTTCAGCTGATACCTGGTAGGCTAATTATCTGAATTTGGTTAGAAATTTCGGTAGACGAAGATGTATTGACGAGGAAAGACTATTTGGAAATAACGTTGATCGTATGACCTCTAAGTTTAAATAAAGCCGATGAATGGTTCCTGATAAAAAAACAACTAAAGTTTAGTTTACCATGTAACTTTTGTACTCACCTATCAGAGGATTCTTTTAAGAGGCTAAATATCATAGCTCAAAGGTAGTTTCAAACAGCATTAGTCATGAAGGGGAAAATTCAACCCATAATAATGTTAGCTGAAATAAAGCCACAGATACTTGGTGCATTATCAATAATCAGCTCTAAATGTAGGTCACTAGCCATAATCACGGAACTGTTCAGTAATCGCTACCCATCTACTGTTAGTCTAGTACACTTTAGAACTAAGCGCAAACGTATAAATATGTTCAAAAGGACTACTTTATTTGGTCGGTGGTCATCGAAAAAATAACTGTTCTACTTTAGTGAATACTCTTTTCTTGTGTTTTGATATGTTTCAGATTATTAATAAACATGTCGAACTTTCAAATATTTTAGAATTAGGCGGTACTGAATCATGGTGTTTAAAGAGAGTCGGTGTAGATTTATAAAATTCGTCCAATATTTCAGTATTTACTTTGGAGAGACTATTTGTTATTGTCTCACACAAACCTTCAGCAGTTATGAAGACATGTTAAAAAACGTGGATTATTTCTGAAAGTATACATAAATTTGTGTCACTTTTAGAAAAAACACAAGTTGATAATCAACAGACTTCAGTTTTTACTCAAGTCAACATCTTCAGAATTAAAGCTCATGTAGAATAGCCAATCTGAAATTAGTTCATTTGTCTACTGGCCTGGAATGTATGTCTCTGAAAACAGTAACTTAGAGGAGAAAATTAAATAATCATCCACACTACTGGAGTGCATACTTACTGAGTAAATGTATCTATCGAATAATTACACTAGTCAACCAAAAACAGAAACTGAAGTTCGGTTTTGTTTTTACCCACTGTAACACAGATTATAAACAACAATTCTTTGGAGACATCTATCTCACCTGATAGTCACTATGTAATCTTTGGCGCCACGAAAACCACTAGTGATAAAATGCGAATTTTGAAAACCACTGAGAAATTTTCTTATTATTACTTTTTAAACTCCTAAAGGTCGATTCATACATTATCGTCTTTCAGTTTTTTTATTACTTATATCTAACGAAATTTTCAGAAAATAAAAGCGCACATCTAGTACCTTAAAATGGATTTACAAATACTGAATTATACGCTTGGTAGCGTATCTATGGCGTTCTCATTATTTTGTGTGCTTACCTAACTAGAAGTAACTACTAATTATATTCTTGGTATAACTTGTTCCCAATTGGATCTTTATATTCTGTAATCTGCGTGAGATATGATTAACGATTGGTACATATATGTAGTGGGCGTCTGTGGCACAATTGTAAAGTGCTCACCAACCATGCCTCATGTAGTCCTGGGTTCAATCCCCGGCTGACACACTCCTTTACCTTGGTAAGCCAGTGATAAGACTGGTAAAGAAAAAAGGTTGGGCATGAGGCTAGCAACCCCATCCCGTAAAAATAAACACCACTACTAGCTAAACTTCGAGGCCAAAGAAGCTTAAAGTCCTATGTTCCACTGAGAACGTAAAGGAAAAAAATATGAAGTTTCATTAAAGGAATCACCGGTTAAGACAACTTAGAAGTTCGGTCATTCATAAAATTTACTAACTTAATCAAATGATTTCTTTTGTAGTTGAGTATCCTCTCCAGAAAAGTCGTGTTTTAAAGGAACATACTCTACTAAACTTATTAATAAAAATTACTGTCAATTTATGCACTTTAGTTAGAAATACTCACAATTCTTTAGTATTCAGTGGTAGACTTTGAGGGATTTCCGTTAACTCTAAACTTGAGCAGTCAACTCTCAATCCACCAGAAATTAGACCAAATTCATCCGGTCGGAAAACGGCCTCTGAATTCGCGTGCATTCTTGGCTTTACTATGATATCCATACATTTACAACCTTCAGGGCATTGATGGCTAAGAAATTCACAAGTCTGACTTTCATTTTCATAATTAATTGTACCTGGAAGGCAAAACACGAACATGATTCACTTTAATCAAATGGAATTATTTACTGTTTTTGGAAAAAATTACACACATAGTTTAAAGAGCGTTTTTCTACAGATCTTCTTTTTGAGTGAATGAATTCGCTTACCATACGTAAAGACACTTAAAGGGAAAAGTTTAATTAACATACATTTCTATTTCAGAAACAAGACTTCCTTTTCTTGGGTTCTGACTGTATAAAGCGACATTTCGCATGATATACATAACATTTTTCGTATCATGTAAACATTCTTCTAGTTTAATTACAGCTTATGTAGTTAGACCACTTTTGTGTGTTCTCTTGTATCTTTTTCTCATCTTTATTCATAAGGCTGCTTTTTGCTTGCAGCCCCTGTTAGTGAATATCATTCTAGTGCTTGAAAACTTAAGTGATGGGATCGAAACACAAATACAAATACATCTATCAAAATGGTGAACATTGTAGCGAGGAAAACCTAATGTTTAGGATTACATGACCAGCCACGGTCAAGTGTGTAATCACTTCTACCTATAATTAAAAAGGAAAATACTTCTACGTTTCTTCAAAAGTATGTAGTTTAGTTTTCAGTAACTTGCAAGTTTTCGTCTAATTAACCAACTCTATTTAGGTTTATTAGCGTGCATTATATATATATTTATATATACATATATATCGGTCAGATACATTCAAGCATGTAAGCAGGTTGATTAACCTTGTTGTTCATTATACAATAATGCTTGAATGGAAGGTCAAAGTAGTTAACATAATGAAGACAAATGAATTACAATATTTCACAGGACTTCAGTAAAGTCCTTTTAGTTAAAATACATAGAAAACTTGGATTCATTATCATTTTCAAAATTTTACTTTTCGCTCTACTTTTAGTAGATCTGAACAAACCAATAATGATGGTTGTGTTTAACTGCCTAACTTGGTTATTAATATTTGGGAAGATATAGACACTGTGTAAATGACCATCTTGAATGAAATCAGTAAGTGAATTACGGCAAGATTTTAAAATTAAATTATTTAACAAACAAGGAAGAGCTCTGTAAGTTGTACTTCATAGAGTTCACAATTTAGCACAGATGTCAAGCAGGCTATCACTGACTAATCAGCATGCAACAATTCGTCTTACAAAGTTGTAGTGCACATTGTCCTCCTTCACATTAGTGTAGGTAGCATAAAAAAAACTCCTTCGAAGTTTGATTATGAAAGGAAAAACTTGATAATAAATTCTGTATCACCATTTGGAGTATTTAAACAGTCATGAGCTAATGGAGATAAAACGGATAACTCTGTGTTTGAAAATGAGTTATACATAAGTGCATAGATGTCATGAGGGAAGTATTACCTGCCGGTTTATCAAACTACATGTGAAAACAACTTCTATAGCTTATCAAAGATGGTGTAATATTAAAATATGAAACTATTATCTAACCATTCATTTCAGTTTAAAGCTAAGCAACTAGATTTGTCATTTTCTGGAGAACAAAGTCAATGACTGAGTGATTTGTATTTATCTTGCGTTAATATATAAATCAGAAGTGTAGGTTTAACCATGGAAAACTTATTTCTAAAATGTCGCTCATACTTTAGTATGCTAATTAGAAGGCTTGCTACTAAAGTGTGCTACTCATTTAAAACTAACAAAGATGAAAGGTAATTACTATTCTGTCACCCTCTTCTGATAAACTGCTAAATATATCTTACATTCTGCTGAGCTGTTCATTTTTATGGAAATGAAAAGGATGTAAACCTCCTAAATGTACATTTATGTCTCTTCCTCCATATTTTGGAATTTTAGTGTTAAGATTCATACATAAAGAAGGAGACAATAAACCATAATAAACAAAGACCAAAAACATATGCAGAAGAAAAAGAACGAAGAGAACTTTATTAGTTTTGAGTCATTTGAAACGTTACATTGGTTTATATCATCGATGGATTGTCCAAGAAACATTGGATTAGTTCATTAAATGCCAAAGAATCTTATTGAGTTTACGATTTTCTAACTGTGTGTTGTCACATTTGTTGTTTTCTTGAGAGAAATTGAGACAAATGGATAGATAAGAAGGGTAGTAGAGGAGCTGAATGATTTCTCTCTCTCCGTATAAATAAATATATATATAGTTATTCACTCTCTAACTTACTTGGACACTGTAGTATATGCGGCAATAACTCCCGTACATGACGACCTTGAACATTTAATGGCTCTGCACATCTAGCCCATTGTGTACCGCCGGCTTCTTTTTCAATTAAGAAAGCTGGTAACCAAGCTGCTAATTGGCAGTCACATATAAGCGGATTATGGACTAAATAACTTGATTATTTAGAAAACAAATAATAAGAAAAAGAAAGATAAACAGTTCATGGGACCATTATTATTTAACTGTGATCAAGAAAGATATTTATTCATGCAGTTCTAAAAGTCTAAATGTATTCATATGGTACGCTTTTCATTTTATGTAGTCCACATATTTCCCTAATTTAAATATTGTATGATAAAGTGTAGGAATGAGTCAATAGTGAATCACTCCCAGATAAGAAAATGTTTAGTGGGCCGTCACTAATTTACTACAATACTGAACTAAAATTTTATTTAAGATAAGATGTAGAAAACAAATAGAAATGATCGGACAAACATTAGTCTGCCGTATCTACAGGGATTGTTTACCTAATACAGCTTATTCACAAGCAGTAATGAGAAAGACAATTAAATAGTTATTTTTAGGATACGTGATTTTATTTTTTCAAAGGCAGAAAGTTTATTTGCATAATTTTATCTCATGCATTATGTAATTGTAGATATTGCATGGGGGATTTCATCATGAGCTGACATCAGTTAGAGAACCACTGGAAAACCTGGGAGTACTGGACAGCTGTTTCGTCCTAGTTTGGGACTCTTCAGCAGTACGCGCCCACCGGGATTCGAACCCAGGACCCAAACTAGGACGAAACAGCTGTCCAGTACTCCCAGGTTTTCCAGTGGTTCTCTAAATGATGTCAGCTCATGATGAAATCCTCCATGCAATTAAACAAAGTCCCTACCAAACCAATACTTGAAAATTATAGATATATCTGTTATTTATTAGAATCGTTATCTGAATGAAGGACATCTATAAATGTCCGATGTATCTCTTCTTCTAATAAGGCTATGCAGTTAACAAAAGCCTTCAGCTTGATACTTATAATATAAATATAATCAAGCATATTCAGCATAAAATGATAAAGCACTCAACCTTTTTCCTATCCATGTACAATATATTGCTAGGAATAACAGTGCAGCCTGAAATTTATCCAAGGAATTAAGTGGTTGGACGGTAATAACAGATATAGACCTGAGTGCGCTAAATAAAACAGATTTCGTGCAATGTCTGGCGGTGTGTTTTTTCATATAAGAATAATTCTAAAATCTTACAAAAGCAGCTTAAGCTATATTAAATTGATGAGAAACCAAAAGTAATCAGGATTCACTGAAAATTAACTTTAATAGATGACTGCTTACAGATATTTCAGTCGACGTAGGTCTTCAAAACTATTCCTTGGGAAAGTTTGTATACGATTGTTTGACAAGTGTCTGAAATTTTTAAAATATTAGCAATTAAATCATATACACAAATATATATATATATACAATTTAGCGAAACAAAAAACAAAATCTGTGCATATAAAATTTCACTAACTTCCCTGGTCGTTGGAAAGAAATACATCGTCATGTCCTGTCTTAGAAAAAAAGGCAGGTTATGAAAGAAACTAAGTTGAATTTGAGAACTTTGTAGTAGGTAAAATTTTCTACAAAATTCAGTAATCTGGTACCTTTTGATTTCAGGAACAATTCCTGAGAAAATGTTTAGTCATTTGTATAAATCTTTTGAACTGGTACAGCCTTTTAAGAAACACTGATTCTTATAAGCGTGAAAAAGCTTAACATGAGAATAATTTGTTTGAATTTGTCTAGTGGGGTAATTTCAGTCTTTTGAGAATAACATCAGTGCAACTAAAGATAAACCATTTGAGAAATTTCCAAAACTTCTGCATCACTAGATATCATATAAATGTTTATCATATATTATTAGCACTAAGATACATTAACCAATTTTATCAAAGAACAGTTTTGATTCCTGTAATTTTTTCACTAATATATTTATTCACTGCGCAATTCACTTTAAAAGTGAGTTCAAGGTAACCAAACATTTAAAACTAGTACTATTAATAATAATAATAAATGGCGAACTGCTTAAAACTTGGGCTACAAAAAGCTTCCATCTCTCCATTGCATATATTTTCTTTCGTATGGTTTATTTTAATCGATGAAGATATGATCTCTAATGGTATTATCTACTCTTGTGTGTATTTAAAATGTTTACAAGCTTCTGATTCGCAAGTTCCTACCAAACTTGAGGAATGGGCTGATTGTGGGTGGCAACGTGTTCCAATACATGAGATAAATGTTATTCATTTATGTCCTCGGGTCTCAAAATATCCTTCTGAACATCTTACAATTGGCTTTCAATTAGATATCATGAGTTTCTTGAAGGAGACAAAGCAGATATATCATAATGGAATGGTTCGCACTTTAGCTCAGAGACCATTGTGTCACAGGATATACTGTCAGTTAATATTTTACTTGAAGATATTGTACGAAGGGGGAAAATATCGTGCAATAATCTCCTCTGAAAATTGTGTACATTTTATAAATACTGTCCAGAATAAAGATGTTATTATTATTAATAATAATAGTAGCTTCGCTTCCAAAATGCAATTCATGAAAATCATACCAATCAATACTATGAACTAATTTGATGCTTCACAGTTGCTCTATACTCACTATGTATTGAAAGAGTCCCATTTCAGTGTGACAAAAATAGATGGATATATTCACTTTCACTTTCAATGGTGCATCTACTATTAAATGAACTGAGTATAAGAATTAGTCAGAAGTTTGGGATAATACGTGAAAGTTTGTCAGCAAGATAATTTTTATCATTATAGGCCTGACGAGGACAATTCAGAGTGAATTTTCAGACTTTGTGTACTTCAAAACTGCATTAGTAACTTTCTTCAAATCGATACATATGATCACACTGGTTACCGTGTTCATTAGTCGTATAGGAGAACCAGGAAAACGTACAAAGAGAGGGAGATCACAAATTAGGACTGCAGTGATAAACAAAGTCTAACAGTGTAATCCAACATAAAAAAGGGGGAAGCATATGTTTACCAGTGTTCAGAAAAATCAAAAATTCATACTCTTTAGTAGCGTAATAAAGCCTATTAGGTGCTTCATGAAAGGAAGTTTGAATTATGAGACATAATTTGATGGCAAAATGAACTTACAAGATTTGTAAGTGTTCCAAACCAGCAAAAGATCCTCTTTGAATACAAGAGATTTTATTTCGATGTAAATATCTAAAATTGAAAACAAATAAGTTGATGTTCAGGTAAATTAAACTGAATTGATCATTATGGTGTACACAGAAGAAAAAACATCCAGACAGATTTACAGACGAAACTAAAGCGAGTAAACTATAATTCACCTGCTAAAAAAATATGCGAAAACATGAAACACTGTATCCCACTATAGTAACTAAATAGCTAAGTTCCCTAGTCGAAAAATAGTGCTTTTTAGTTTCTCTTGGAATGGGATGCTGAGTACCCATCACTAGAGAATTTCAAATTGGAATAGAAATTTCAAGCGCAAGTTGTTTTCAATGATTCTTTAAATCATCCGGATTCATAATGACGGTCACTTTTAGATTCAAAAAATTTTCGAAACTCTCTCCAGTTATTTCAAGGCATTTTAATTGCTCAAATTGAAGTTAAAGAATTTTTTCTCCACATTTTGATCAACCGTGAATATATATTGCGGCATAATTAAATTAACCTATTTTACTTCGTATATTCTCACTGTCTGCTTAAAATCCTGAAGAAATAATAACTATCAGGCTTAATTTGCTCTTCTACGACCTTTCAAACGATTCCATAGGATAGTTAACTCAGATTTGATTGTCCTTCCTCATATAAACAGTCATTATTCAACATCAATAGTTATCACGAAACATGCTGTTTTCGTACACTGAGACATCTCTGAATGTCCTCGACATCTTTCTGTATAAATAAGAAGTTGGCGAGAAATTCAATTTTAATGTTTTTTTTCTAATGAATAATTTTAATCTGCCTCACATGATTTAATTTATAGTTTGTAAATATTGTTGTCTTGTTCATGTATTATGCAACAGTGAAACGATGTGGTAGTTAACTTATGTTTTCACTATAACTAAACAGCATTGAAAAATGTCCAAATATGTTTTGTTTTTTTCTATTGTCACTATAGCAGGACTAGTTTTCGACAAAATGCTTGTTACACATTTTAACATTATTTATTTTGCACTGAACTAAAACGGATATCAGTTGCATTTCTTACATCTGGTTTTATACATGTAATTGAGCTAAACCCGAAAAAACAAACTGGTTGGAGTTTTATTATTCTCTTTTTATACTATGAAATACCACAAAGGTATTGTCATATCTTTTAAGAAGTTTTCTTACAGGTATAAATTGTGTCATATTAAAATCCTAATCACCATTATAACCTCCTGAGGTGTGCTGAATACTGTTTATTAACTTCTTGATATATAATATTCAGCATTCTAGTACTGTAAACAATATGGAAGAAGTCAGTTAGCTTCTGTACAACTATCATAAACAGTTATACGCCTGTCACTGCGAACTCCTTTTACTTTGATTATGACTGGTTGAGATGTTACTGTTGAATTACCAATATGTTGGGAGAAGAAAAGGGCTAAAGTTACACTTATAGTCCGGACACTCTGTAGGTCAGTGCGTTCAGCTGTATTAGAAAGGGGAATTCCACTATAAACTTGACTTGTGACACACGAACATTGTACTGTAAAGATTTAAAAACTGGGGAGTCAAAACTAATCATATTTATCGTAATCTTCCAACTTTAATGGCTGCAGTACGATTCGCTCATTTCAGAAAAAGGTATCCATCAATTCTATAGTCTTAATTTATTAAAATGAATCACACAAACACTTGAATTTCTACTTTTATCACCAATTTTATATGATTCAATTTAGCTAAAAACTAAATTTAATGTAAGCAGTACAATGATAACTGTTCTGATGTAATAAATTTCACGCTGGAATACGAATACTTGACGCAAAGGATTTCTATCAGTTTACAATGAATTACATCTAAATACCCCTTTTGTTTTTAGAGAACCACTCTAAAATTCTAGCAGGCTTATTCCGTCAAAGAAAGTGTCATTATCAAGGGGTGCACGATAAATTTCTTGTATCTGAGGAATCACATTGATTGTAAGGTAAACTCTGTCAAAAACCAATGCTATCTAGGAATTATTCAGTGGATTTAAGATAAATCTAATTATGATTATCAAGAATTAGTTTGTTGGAATCTGATTGATTGGTTACAGGATTTCACCATAGACTGACATCAGTTACAGAACCATTAGAAAACCTGCAACAAGTACTGGAGAGATGTCACGTCCTAGTTTGGGACTCCCCAGCTGTACGCACCCACTGAGTTTCGAACCAAGGACCTTCCAGTTACAAGGCAAGCTCGTAGACCGTTAAGCCACTGGGACCCGACCCAATTTCCCGTGAATTCCAGCTTCTGCCAGTTAGTGATTTATGTAATGTAACCGCCAGCCAATGTCTTCGGCAAGTATTTATCTTCACTTTCAACCTGCTGCAAGCTACTTGTCATAACTTCTCACTAGAACCCCAGGTTACTACCTACCTGAATAGGTCCAGTGGTGAACTGGCAGAAGTTGGAATTCGCGGGCCATTGGATCGGGTCCCAGTGGCTTAATGGTCTACGAGATCTCCTTGTAACCGGAAGGTCCTGGGTTCAAAAATCGGCGACTGCGTACTGTTGAGGAGCCCTGAACTAGTAAGAAACCGCTGTCCGTACTCTTAGGTTTTCCAATAGTTCTCTAACCGATGTCAGCTCATGATGAAATCCTGTAATCAATTATGATAAGTTAATAACTCTACAGGAATCAATTAATCTACACATGAAAACTCTATCGAAACTAAAAACAAAACCAACTTACAGTATTTTAAGGTTCGACAGATGGGAAAATAGATTAGACGGTAATAAACCCAATTCATTCGAACTTATATATCTGTAATTAATAAGAAAAGAGGTGTTTGAAAAATTGATTTCTTTCAGTTGAATAAAGGTGTCATCATATACTAAAATACACGATACACCAAGCTATTCACTCGTAATATCGAGACTGTTGTACATAAATATATATAACTGGAGAGTGAGAAGTCTCTTCAATGAATAAGTTGGTAAATCTGACACCGTTTCAACTTACTGATAGTCTGTTTAGAACAATTTAGTAAACTAATGTAAACTGTATTGAACAGTGCAGTTACTCAGTATGAAATACACACTTTGCACTGTTTAGTGTTGATCCACACAGAATAATTTTGTAAGGGTACATACGATAACTTTGAATGGTTTCTAAGGTTAAGGTCTATCTATGACTGTCAAGTAGTACGAGAATAAAGGAAACCATGAAACAATAAAGAAATTTTAAAAATCTAAATATTTCTCTTCTGGATAAACTGAAGGAGCAAAAATTAAATTCAGAATGGTATTCTACTCTGATTAATGGTTAAAAAGAGATAAATATGTAAGATAAACAACACATACAAACTTCATGTTTATGTCTGTTCAAAGCATTTCACGCGTAACACCGTTCAGTTTCTTGATATTACCACGTTTGTTTATTTTACAGTTTTTAGTATGAATATGGTGGAAGGCGCCATCTTGGTAGTTTTGCGAACTGAAAGTATTATCCACTATGTGAATTCCAGTTTCCGTTTTATTTCAAAATTTCCTTATAAATTTTTTTTATTTATTTTATTCCTTTTATGTGTTTACTAGCGGTGAAGAGACTGCTTCGGTGATGAAGATAGAGGAAGTTATTTTGTCTACCATGTTCGTAGCAAGTTTATTCTAATAAACCCAGGTTGGATAGATTCTATTTTAATTACGTCATTCGCTCGTCGTTTTGTTTAAGTCATCTTTCAAATTAACCGGTTTATTTAAAGCAATGATGAATTAAAGAAATAAAAATGCCATGATCTTGAGACAAATCAGTATAATCAGATGTAATTCAAGGATAGATTAATGTGTTTCTATCACTTACCCTTTGAAGTATTTTCATTGGATTGAATGAAACCAGAGATCAGTGGTAACGTCTCTGACTGCAGCTGTCACTGGGTGACACGGGTTCGAATCTCAGAAGAGACATGAGTTCCTTCAAGGTTGCAAATACGCTTTGTTGACTGGTGACTGCCAACTTGCACGAAACCTAGATCCAAGGCTTTCTGTGGCCGATTGCCTCCAACTATCTAATATAATCAAATCAATGTGCACCGTGATGGCGACCTACCTAGAATGGTGGCCACATTGCAAACCTGACTGAAAGAATTCAGTCTACACCGAAGAAAGGACTAGACACGTCATAATAGTTACTAGTGTCCAATAAAAGATCTGAATAAATATTTAAACATCCTGTTGAATCATATTTTCGTTTTTGTGTTATCTTAAAACAAGGCGTTAATTGATCTCTGGTAACAGTAGTAGTAGTGACCTAATAAACCATGAGACTGATAAAAACTTATACCTAGATGCATTGCAATTTTTGTTGGTGAACATATCACTGATCAAGCACTTGAACAACACAGAAGTAACCTTCCAAGTAACTCAATATAATATATACTTAATGAGCATCTAATATACTTGTTTGTGGATAACTAGACTAGGGTTTTCAAAATAAATAATGTAATTCATGGTATTATGTGTTCCAACCTGAGTTGACTAAAGCTTGAGGCATCATTTCAAAATATTTATTGATAACCCTGATTGATATAGTTTATTTATAGCCAAATGTAAGTAGAAAATGATGTAATTCTACAAATTATTTTTCATAGGTTGCTCAATCTTTACGTCTTTGTTAAGAAAAGTAGGGATTATTTTATCTTCTTATGACTCAGTATGGGAATATTTCGTTCAAAGAAGGAATTATTGATAGCGGAAGTAGGTAGGTTTGTAAAAAGCCTCAATCATCTAATTTGTCGTTCACCTACTCTGTATATTCGTGAAACGGCACCCACTAGCATCCGGAGTTCGGTCGACATTCTGTTATGTGATCCACACTACTGTTAATAACAGCTTTCCAGTCTAGCGAGAAAATTTATTAGCTATCCATTCTTTCATTAACCATGGAAACGCTGTTTTAGGAGATTTTCCAAACTTGACAATGCGAAAACCCTCTAACTAATATTCATAGCTGTTTTTGCGACATATAAATTAATAAGGTGATTTTATTTCGACCAGTAGTTACAAATGTGGAATAGAGTGTAGTAAGTGACTAAATTTTGTGCAATTTGTATGGTAACAGTGAAGTTCTGCAATCCACTGTTTACCACTCCTACTATTTTTCTTCCCATTTCCGTGTATACAAATTGTGATATTGAGTGCAACTGTAAAGCTTCAGATTTTTTGATTTTTTATTCCTTTACGTTCCCAGTGGTACATAGAGGGCTTCAAGCTAGAGTTTCGAAGTTTCGGTAGTGTGAAATTGCTTGCCTCACGCCCAACCTTCCATCTTTACCGGGCATACTATCCGCTTAGCTAGGTTTAGGAGTGTGTCGGTTGGGAATCCGGACCACGTGTATGGTTAGCCAGGATTCTACCACTGAACCACTGATGCCTCAGAGGAATATCATTAATGGAAGAGCTATATTCTAATGCCTACTTTTTGTTATCTCTTCGTCACAAGAGACATAAAATTATGCAATGAACAGACTACATTTTAATAAGTTAAAACAGTCGTAATTTGTAGGTATTAGCAGAAATGAATTAAGATGGTGCCGATTACTATCAGCTCTAAAAATGGCTGTGAATTTGAGAAAAAGGGAATATTATTTTGTGATAATAATATCTGAAATATTTAGATAGTTATACATCACGTTGTTCAGTTGATGCTTAACTGCGCACCATCCTACTTTATTACAAGGAAAAATAACAAAGAAGCGAATGAGATCAAAAGAAATCTATGGTATTGATAATCAGTTGAAAAACCCTCACTCAGTTAGTGTTTTCCTTGATCTGTACTGACGGAGTCTTCTCACATAAAACTTCTCATAGGAACTACATTTCTACCATGCTTCTAGCCCGACTACCCTAACAATAGTTCTAGCTTCCATCTCTTGAACCTAAAAGCAGTTGAAGATATGGTCTTAAACCCAAAGATTTCAGAGATTTGGGTTGAAACAGTTATGAAGTTAGACTAGACATAATATGGAATTCTCAGAAACAGATGTAGTATTCTTTAATTCTGCTAAATTTGACCATTCAGACTAAAAATTTCATTTTTTTTATTTGACATTATGAAGTCTGCAGTATCACGATTCAATCAAATAAAAAAATATGAATGATAACTGAAAGCCCATTTTTCCATTGATCAAATCAATTTAGGATTTTCGCAGCTCGGTTTACTCCTTCTGAGACTTGAAACTTATATTTTAGAGTGTCTTAAACATAGAAATGTTTTATTTCCCACTGAGGAAAGCAGTATTATAATTTGTAGAAAACTCACTGTTTCATATATTTATATATATATTTTGATGAGAGTTATGGGACACGAAACCTGTCTACGGTATTCCTGTTATACACATTTAAATACATCAAGATATTTCAAATATCACATTTTTTAATGCATCCTCTGCATTATAAATGAACCACATTCTCTGACTGTTACAATGTGATTAATACTGGTCAACAGTATATCAGTTCACAGATAATTGAAATGTGTGATAACAGTCTGTAAGAAAGTACTTCCAGTATTTAGTAAGTTCTGACACTGGATTTGTTTCCGAATAAAACAGTGATTTCACTGCTGATGTAACTTAGGCATCACCTTAGCAGAAACTCATAGTGCATTTTAAAAGTAGTCTACGTTGGATCAACTGTTTAGAGTTAAGAAACTTAATAGATGGAAAGAAAACTAGTCGGAAATTCACTATAAGTAATTGAAGTAAATTTATCCGATTCTGTGAGGTGGTTTGTATTCGAAGTTTTATAAAAATACTACATAGTGGTATTCATACACCTGGAACTTAAGCGACCAAGTAAATTGAGTCATCTTAGAATCCTTCTATAAAAAATATACATGCAGTGAGACACATTCACAGTGGATGAATTACACATACTGTATGAAAGCTTATAAACCATTTTGGTATCTGTAATCTCTAGAAGTTAACAGTATTCATACCTGTGTTCTGCTAGTGGAAATTCAAGTGTTTAGACTGGTAGGTTAGAACTGCCATCAAAAATTTAACACTTCATCAAATATTAAAAATATAATCATTAATACTAGACCAACCATAAGCTTAAAAGAATGCAGTAGCTATAAACCAGCATCACTATTAATAAACCGGTGTAAAAACATAATAAAACTAACACGTCATAAGCAATCATTTTGTGTATTAATCTTAAATTATGACTTCTGGATTTTAAGCAGTAGTCAGAGACACTTATTAATATCATTATGCTACTCTGTTTGATTTTCTTGATTCCGACTTATTTGACCTAGTGGATTACACATTATTATTTTTCCCTGGGATTCCGAGTGGAACATAGGGCTTCAACAACACATCTCCATGATGTTCAATTTTCTGCTGTCCTCTTCAGCTGGCCAGATTCATGACTGACCATAATCCCCATTTGCTCCCCATCGCCACACGATTTCCTCCGTGTCACCCTCGCACTGACGACGCACTCAAGCGATGGTCTGGCGCGCGATGCAATTCGACGGCATTCACAACGAATGCCAATCCATCTCCATTTTCTCCTATGTATTTGTTGAGCAGTTGGCTCTTGGTTGGTCTGCTCCCAGCCAGAGTTTCTTGTTGCTAATTCATCCCAACTGGCCACATAATGTTCATTATGGAGCCAACGAAGGTGGTGGATGTTGATAAAAGTCTGAAATATCTTGGAAATCCTTTTCGTGACTGACACGCAGAGCAAGTTTCTCACCCATATAGAAGAACTGACTGACTTCACATTTGTGTCAAAAATCCGAATCTTGTTCTTCATCCTGAGTCAGTGCAGAAGATTTACAAACTGGTTTCAGGTTGATGAAGGCTTATCGTGCCTTTCCGATTCCAGCTTTGACATCGTCTATTCCTCCCGTAGTTGAAACCGTGCTTCCTAGATAAGTGGAGGAAGTAACCTATGTTAAATCTCTCCCATTGATGGTAACCGGTGCTGGTCGTTGTTGCTGCAGATTACACGGTTTTCCGAATGAAACTACGATAAACTTTCACTTCAAGCTGTATGCTTTGCTAATGACAAAAGTTAATTCCATAGCCATAACTTTATAATATAAGTTTAATACTCAATTCTAAGTTTTATTCATGAGAAAAATTTAAGTCACTTGTTCAGCATTTGATAATTTTAATTTGATTAAAATCAGATTTCTAACAGCTTGTATTTGTATCCTTATTTTTAAAGTGGAATTATTCATTTATCAGTTTACAAAATCATCTTCTCAAATTCCATGTTTGTCTTTTTAAATTTTAGTGTCATTTTGAGCTTTAAGTCAACTATCTTCAATATGTATAATACTCTATCCTTAGTTTGAAATTGTTTTAATTTATCTTAAATATTGTTAGTGCGGAATAAATGAAATTAAAATAACATGTTTACTGATAGAAAGGCTTAAATTAATGAAGACATAAACGAAAACAATCATAACTTACAAAGAAGAAAGTTCTCTCAGATTACTAAACGCTTCAGGATGAACATACGATATTTGATTGTTGTCTAAAACACTAGGCGTAAATTAAAAAAGGTGAAAAGAAAAACTACTAAAAAAATTCAAATCGAAAATAAATTAAATTTTAATTAATTATATTTAAGCTACAGACAAAACATATTTAAATCATCATCATCAACATCACCGTCATACGAGATTTTTTATTTTAACTGCCACATTATTGCCTCAATGAAATTCTATATATATATATAAAATCATTTAAAGATTTGTATTCGCTTGAGGCATACATTGTAGGAGAAATGAAATTATTAGAAATGTCTGTTTATACTGTCTACTTCATAAATAGGCCAGCAGCTTGTGAAAGGGGTGGCGGGTGAGGTTGAATTCATGTGCATCATGGCAATATAATTGTAGTGTCCAAAGATAAATATGGCGATTTCTGAAATAAATGGGAATATAAATTGTGTTTCTGTTGCTGTGTGCAACTACTACCTACCTATATAGACTGGCAAGAGTTGAATAGGTAATAAAATCAAGGCAGAGTTATAAACAAAGATGTATTTTATGTTTATTGAATAATAAATAGATAATATCTGATTACAAGTCTACAGGAAGTGGCTTTCCTTTTTTCAATATGGACGTCAGTCAGTTAGATAATTCCTTTGAAACATTGTAAACTTACACTGCATTCATCGATTACACAATAGCTGGTCAGTAAGTATATGAGAAATAAAATGATATGATAAACTTGGGATTACATTCTGTCAACTTAATTACATGCGGAAAAATGTCTGCTGGCGCTTATGGATAAGATGTATCTTCAGTCATGATAAACATGAAGTTCCTTGAGAGACTAAGGTCAGTACATATTAGTACCAAGGGGGGAGACATTTTCGTTCATTGAGTCAATGATTCGGTTGGTTACAGATTTAATCATGAGCTCAGATAGGTCAGAGAACTACTGGAAAACCAGGAAGCACTGGACAGTCATTTCAACTTTCTTTAGGACTCTTCATCAGTACGCATACACAGGGGTTCGAACCTAGGAAATTCCGATTACAAGACGACTTAGTCTTGTACTGGGCAAGATATTATTATCATATCATCACTATTATGTTATTAATACTGCATTTAGGGTAGTCCTAATAATCAGGAAGTACAGTAAGATTATAATCAATGATTAAAAATATAGTGCACATATAAAACCATTTACATAAATCAATTTATACCTACACTTTTCTTAAGCTCTTGTAGTTGGCGAATGCATTCGCTGGAAGTGAAGCCAATTCATTACTATCCATATTTCTAAAATGAGAAAATAAGTATTAAAAACAATAAGGGATCAAAAATATTTTCTTCAGTGAACAAAGAAAATTTCCAGTCATTGTTGTTTGCTGAAATTCGCGATTTTTGTTGGTATTTTCGACTATAAATCAAAAAGGTCATGCTGTGTCAGCGTATGTATTTCGTTACACTAGATACTGCCTTATGTCTTACTAGTTTAAAAGATAATTCTTCAGCACTGAGTAAGCAGATCAAATCTCACTGTGATATCTGTTACTGCACAGGAACCAGTTATATCTAGCTGATGTACCTAAAACAGAACAAATCTCATCTCATGGATTCCACTGCTAACAAGCATGTAGTAAGTAATATTAGATCACAAATGTATTTAGACTTGTCAGTGTACAGTTTTAACTAGTTTATCTATATCTTAGATGGAGGGTTTCCATGAAATATGAAGCCTTTTTTCTATTAAAAAAAACCACTTTTTTCACTTCAGGAATAATGCACATTGTATCAAAATGCTAAACTCTGTTTCATTTAAACGTTTGCTACAATATTTTTATCCAAAAACAGGATAATTACCAAAAATTAATTTTATAGCCTGCATTTGCACATAAAATTATATCATTAAATAAACAGGATTTTATGCCACATTATCTGTAAATGTACTTTGGATATGATATAAATTAAACGATATTGGACAGTTATTGTTTACACATATCACAATTAAACCTGTCTGCCTAATACACAGAAAAAGAAACTGTACATAGAACTTTCTATCCCAAATTTAGTTACAGTATGTCAGTATCGCTTGATTCTTGCATTTATTTGTGCAAATATTTATGGGGATATTAATCGTCCTGTTAAGTAGGCTTCATTTTAAACATTTTGTAAGTAATTTTTTAAAATTTTAACAGTGGTCAGTGATTTCTCACAGATTACAAAATTCATGTGGGACATCCACATGAATTAATTAATTGGAAATGTTTAAGTGTAAAACTTTGATTTCCAAGTAGGGATTTAGTTTGACTTGATAGAGGATTTCATCATGAGCTGAGATCAGTAAGAGAACCATTTGAAAACCACCGGGGAGTACTAAACAGCTGTTTCGCCAGCCTAGTTTGGGACTCTTCACACTACGCACTCTCCGCCAGGGTTCAAACACAGGACCTTCTGGTTACAAGGTGAGCTCGTAGACCCCTAAGTAAATGGGACCCGTTCCAAGGGCCCATGAATTCATGGGATTTGGTTTGAACCCCGGTAGGTGTGTACTGATGAAGACTTGATTTGTCCAGAAACCCTCAAAGGAAGGTCTTCAGATCAATCGGTCAAGTACACTAATTATTAAAATCTAAATAAGCTAAATTAATTAATGACGCATTTATTCTGTACGGAAAATATTCTAGTACTTGTTTGAAAACACCGAATCGCTTTTGGAGAATATACACCAAATACCTTCTCTACGATCAGTTGTCAATGGTTAAAAAGTATTTTAATGTGTATAATACAATTTCTTGTTTTACTGAGTAAGCTAATTATGCTTAATAGTCTCTGAGCCCGGGTTTACAGTGTGTTGTCAAGCCAGAAGATTCACTATCCCCAAAATGACCGACAGAGGTGACAATGCTGCAATGAAATTTCCATGTTACCGATTCACTCAAATGAAGATTATTAAAGTGCAAAGATACATGAAAATTTTATATTCTCTGGTTACTACTACACGCTTTTGTCACTAGTCTGGCTTTACTGACCAGAGAATAGGCTAGACAATTTTCTAACAGAAGAAAGATAACACGCAGATTAAAAATAGCTTTTCACTATTTTACCAAAATTAGTTTTCTATACTTTCTATACTTAATAAAAATAAATTTGCATGGAAACCCACCCTCTTACAAATAAAAGACGAAAGCGAATTCAGTTATTTGGTTGACATTAAAATCAAAAATCTTGAAAGAATAAAACTAATAAAGGTATTTCATTTGTAATGATTCTGTAACTGTAGAAGACGAGAAACCTGGTAACGGAATTCGGTATCTCTTTGTAGCAACATCATGTACACCTTACGTGAAAATGATCATTGACACAGATCTTCTGTGTTGTGCCACTTCTGCCTTTCGTATTGTTTCTTTGTCCTCTTTTCATATCTCTCATGTTTCGCCGCAACGCTGTATCATTTGCTCTCTTTGACGTCGAATATATCTCTCCGTTATTGGATGTTTTACGCCGATGAATGTCTCTTCATATACTACTGATAAATCTTATCAGTAGCAAGCTCCGCAACTCTTCAAACATGTAAGAAAGTTATGACTTATCTTAGAATAAACTACTGAGTATAGGATCTAGCTGGCTGATTTAAAAGCCCCAAAAATTTACTACTAAAATGTTTTGATAGTGAATTAAACACTCTAAGATAATATATATATCTAAAGCCTAAATATTATTATTTTTAACTGGAATATAAGTGTATGTATCATATTTTGTGGCCGATATTTGACTTCAAAACTGAATTGATTAATGGTTATTCTCTATGCATCTAGTGACATTATAATCAGCTTGATTGAAAGAATTAAGCATAACGTATTTGGAGCATTTGATTGATGTCAAAGTAGGTTTCCACAAGGATTAACATCAGTCGATATGATAACGAGTATTTTGTACAAGGTAGTGTCTTAAATTCACTCCTCCATGATTTAATTAGTGCACGAAATATCTACTGATTCGTAGAGAAACTCATTTATGTCACAATTAGTGACTTTATTTCATTTTACAATTGAAGTCAGTTCAGAGTTGCTGTGCTGGACGTATATCACATATTCTCAGAGCTTGTCTAAATGAGACACTTTTTACTTACTGATTAATTGTTTAAAGTTCAACTTCATCTTAAATGATGCCCAGCACTACTTAGTCAGCCTTCGTTTTCAGAGTCTGACCATTTGCCATGATTTCTGGGTATAAGATGACTAGGATGCCTCTGAAAGTACCGTTCTAAATGAAGTCAGACTTATGAGAAATATCCACTCAGTACCTATATTTTGAACTACAAATGATTTGTTTTATTTTAACTGGATGTCAGCATGGTTATTACAAAATGGAGAGTCTAGTAAAAGTTTAAATCAGCTTAGGCATAAATCATTTGTGAATAAGTGAAAGTGATTTTAGTAACAATTTTATACTGAAGAATACTGCTACTGTATCTGTAATTTGCCAAATAGTATAAGTCATACATTTTAGCCCCTAAGTATGTTATCTGCCATTAAACGGAGGTATTCCCTATGGAATTGAGGGAGAGAAAATGATTAGCAGTAGAGAGACATAAATTTGTGATCTGTGTCAGTTGCAAGTCAATAAAAATAGTCGTTTGAATAAACTTTATCTAAATAGTTATACATGAAACACGCAACAAATAATAGTAGATTCCTTTAATGGAACTCTACTTTCTTTTCTTCTCTAACAATAGATGATTCTAGCCTATATCACACTTTTCTAGACATAATACATTTTATCAGTGTACCAAAATAACATATGAGACGATGACAGTGTATCTCAGCCTTTTGAATGAGCTTTTCGAGTTTCAGTCATTTCATAACAGACTTCATTAGACACTTAAAACGAAAAATAACTGCTTGAATTCACTTTGTATAAATTTATCTACATATCATCTTCTTTCTGGGAAAATATCTTAGCACATTTTTATATTAACGCTTTTCATTTTTGAAGTTAAACATATTCGATAAATAATAATGTCACTTACAGTTCCATAATATCCTGGGGTAAATCATTCGGAATAGCTTTCAATCCGCGTCCTTGACAGTTAGCTACACCTTCAATTGAGCAGTCACAAATTCCATCACATGACGATGTACTTGTAACTGTGCATTCTGTTGGAGCCTTGTGTAACATTTCTGAGTTGACTAGTGTGAAGCACATTGTGAATATTGGTTATATAATTAGGAAGATTAAAAGACTTTAAACAATTACATTTAAGAAAGGAGAATTTCAAGTAATTACTTATTTGCTACTTTCTATTATCGTATAAGTTAATTACCACCAAGGAGTACTATTATCTTAGCATACTTCTAGAGGAAAACCTGTAAGCTTCTTATGCGTAGAGCGGAAGCTGTTATACCGGCGTAGCTAATGAGTCACGAATGTATCATTACAGCAACTATTATATATGAATCTATGCTTCCTCCCTTAAGGAAAAAGGTTATGTCACACAGTATAAAATATTATGCTCCTGGTACTAATGAACACTGAATTTTAAAAGTAATTCTACTGGGTTTTTTCCATCACTTTAGTTTAATATCCGTGATTTCATGAATCCACGTTGTTTAAATCAATGGAAGGTTAAGAAGTGAATCAGCCTCAAAGATGATCACTGATCTCCTCTAAACTCCACTGGTTTATCCCTTATATTTAGAATAAACTTTCCTGAACAGATAAATGTAGGATTATTCTAATCAAACAAAGTAGAAAGTCTATCACTACTTGAATTATCCATTTTATTTGATTAAGTTAGTTTCAACATACATCAACAACCTTAAATACTCCTTTTCATGGCTTTACGATATGCGAAATATCTCCTCACTGACGCTGCGCCTTTTAAATGAGCTCTGTACGAACACTGAAGGATGAAATAAAGTGTTATATTTGAGGTTGGCAAGAAATAAATAATGTTGAAAACTGAATACAGATTCACTAGTTGACTGTCCATACGCTCACCTTAGGACTTGATGTTTCTCTGTTTGATTGGATGGGGGATTTCATCATAAGCTGATATCAGTTAGACAACCATTATTAAACCACCTGGGAGTGCTGGACAGCTGGTTTTTCAGTCTAGTTTGGGATTCTTTATCAGTACACACACACCGGGATTCAAACCCAGGACCTTCTGATTACAAGGAGAGCTCGTAGTCCATTAAGCCACTTAGACTTGATTCAATGGCCCATGAATTCTAACTTCTGCCAATTCATGACATAGAGCGACCACTTCGCAATGTCTTCTAAGATTAGTTACTGCCTCACTTTCAACCTGCTGCATCCTACTGGTCACGGCTTCCAATCAGTTAAACTAAACCCCTACAAAAACCAATACTTGAAAATATACATAAATCTAGTAGGTCTTCCCATAAGTAAATGAATAACAAAATGGTTAACCATTATAAATAGACTACTTACCAGGACATTGCAATGCATCAAATACTCCTTCGTTTAATGGATATCCATGCAGACTTGGATCCATACTCAACGATGAACATACTGCATTAGTTTTGTGTAAGATATCCAGACGATTTTTGACAAGAAATTCTTTCAAAAATGGTTGCAGATAACAGTCACATCGTAAAGGATTTTCGTTTAAATCACTAAATGTTAACAAGGGATAAGAGAATAGTTGTTATGCATAGAAAACAACACTGGTAGCTAGTAATGAAACCAGTGAGAACATTTATCAGCAAGAAGTAATAAGCGCTCTGACAACTATTAGCAGCTACCGTTTGCAGTAAGAACTGAAAAATGCTTCCGTTACGATGTTTGAATAAATGTTTCTCAGCAAACGACGCCGCGATCAATAGGCATTTAAGCTTGAAGAGCTTTCAATACTCATTAGTTAGCTATGAGATGTTTCAGAAGTAGTGTCTTCAAAACAAACTCTGCTATGTTTCATACAGGTAGAAAAGCTAACAGAAGGTTACTGAATTAAACATTTAAATTAAATACCCGATGCGTCAAAGTCGTATCAGATATATTTTCAATTACAAGACCATGTGAGGAGGGTGCACCTGTTAATTCACTTAAAGCTGTTGAAACAAAGACGAGAAATGCCCAGCTATATATTGGACGTTTAGAAGTGTGAAGTCAACAAACGTAACTATGAATCGGCATAGTCAACATAATTTATACTGACTAATTTACAAAAAAGCAGACTATTAAAATAACTAATTTACAGTAACAGGAAAATATACTTTATGACTGAAGTTTTGAAACTGCAAGAGACTTTCATTCTAAGCGCTGAATAATGTAAACGTTACCTCAAAGCTTCATAAAGATTATACCAATGTTTAATTCTTTTGTGTGTAACTCTAATTCTCTCACTGTTGTAAAGAAACGAGTCTTTCATCCTGAGGTATTACTCCAAGACTCAGACTACACATTTTATCGAAATCACGATTTAAACCAGGATTGTTCGAAATGAAAATTCACTAAAGCTTCATTTGAAAGCCAGAATATACGAATGATAACATTTTATCTGCCTGATACTATAAATGACAATCAAGACACCAGGCGAAAAGAGTGATGGTATATACTACTAATTAGCCGAAATGAGTAGTTGGGAACCACTTACACAAATAGTAATGCTTGCTAGCCGGATCGAAGTGACCTTAACACCAGATGGCCATTTTAGCCGTCTAGTTTACCCAGTTTAACTCAGCTCATACAGCCAAATCAATTTCGAAACACACGAGAAGTCATTAAAATAGATCAATCTGATCTTCATTGTATGAATAAAAACGATCAGAATCACAATAGTCTTTTTGTTACAAATTGTAGTTAGTGTTTATTGATGAATAATATCCATTCATATCAAGCTATCAATTTAATACAGTCACTCCATAAATTATCTAGTAGGCAATTTTCAGTTTCTTATCAAACCAGTTTGAAACTAGTGAACTGCATTCCAAAAGTGTCATGATTGACTTCCCAAAACAAACTTAAATGTACATCTTCAAGGAGCTGATTACAGAATTTATTATTATATAGACTGATAGGTATGAAGTTTAATATTGAATTTCCTGACATTTAATTTAAAACGTGAGATAACAAGAAATTTTTTTGCATTACAGGTTTCTCAGTTTATTTGCTTTTAAATAAGCACGAAGAAATCCCTGCAGAACTGAAAAAGACATATTTTTATTAAAATTACAGTTGCCAACGGACTTAAGACGCTAATGGATTAGTTACTAGACCAAATGTTCAAAGTCTTGACATTACGTGTATACTAATAAAATATTTTATTGCATAGTGAACAGTCAGAAAGAATATTTAACCCTTCATCCACGATTCTATAAATCAGACAGCAAGAATATTGAATAATAAGACAATGGAGGTCAGATTAATGGACTAATGTCTTTACTGTCAAATGTTTGAAAATAAATTTATTAATATCATCGGCTGAATTAACGCCAAAGTGATCACATACTTGACCAAGAAATTTGTCTGCAGCATATGCATCAAAAGTGCGTCGGTGGCACGGCAGTCAGGACGCTCGCCGACCATGCACATGGTCTGGGGTTCGATCCCCGGCAGACGCACCCCCCTACCTCACTAAGCCAGAAATAATGCTGGTGAAGAGGAAAGGTTGGGCATGAGGCTAGCAACCGCATCCTGTAAAAATAAACACTGCTACAGAAACGTTGAGCCTCTAGCTTGAAGCCCTATGTTCCACTGGGAACGTGAAGGAATAAAAACAATCTGTATCAAATGACACAATTTTAGAACTAGAAAATTCAAGACATAATTAAAATATAAATGATCTTTCATACAATAATTTTTCATTGACAGTAGCCTTAACTTTTGAAAAGCATGCTGAGCTCACACGAGTGGTTTACAGAAACAAGTAGGTGATTACTATGAATAGTTTTAAGTTGTAGTGTTGCAACATCTGAAATCTTTTGTATTCACTACAGCGAAGACACTACTGCAACGTCATCGGGCTTCAGCGGAAAACAACGGATATTCAATCTCAACTTACATATGTTTGAGCAACTTCAATTCGGAAACCAGAGATTTAGGAAGCCATATTAAGTTATTTTTCGCGAGAAGGCTATCAGAGAAAAATAACGGATAAATGAATTTATAATGACATTTGATTTATACTACTTATAAATACGGGTATAAAACCCACGAAGTTTTTAAAAACAGCGTAAATAATGACCGCTTTCAAACATGAAGAGTAACTGACTGCTGAAAACAATGATATTCAATATTTCTGAAGTTTAGTAACACTGAGCTTCTAACAATTTACATGAATCTTATGACTGAAATTTTAAGAAACTGTCAGTATGTGTTCATGATTATAACGTTCGACTACTGTATTTTAAGCAGTTTTTTCACTTCTTGCATTCCAAATGAAAAGTAGGGCTACAAGCTTTTGAAGTTTCATTATGAAGAGTTACCTTTATACAGAGTCGGATTGCTTGTCTCACATTTACCCTATCATCTTTTACAGGCCTACTACTGGCTGGTTAACTAGGCGGTGGTTTAGGAGTGTCTCTGCTTGGAAACAGACTCGACCCTCCCCCTCCACTTGGCTGGCGAGCATCCTATCATTCAAACACCAATTCAGATTTTAGACAGACGATGTAATAAAATTTGTGTAATCCAATATTTAAAACGGTAAAAAAATAAACATTCATTCCATGAAACATGAAAACATTACAGAAGAGCTAGATTTATAAGTTCTGGACGAAGGAAAATTTAGTGTGAAGGTTTTCTGTTGATGAATTCTAAACACCTAACTCAATTAATTCAACCCGACAAAATAAAATATATATCATATAAAAGCAAAATATGGTTTTGGATAATTTCCATTATAAGACACAAGTGGGATATGCATCACAAAACTTGGCGAGACTGTCAAACAAGTAGAAAATGATATTTTGATTAACTTACATATAGCGTAATTCAGTTAGTCCAGAAAATAAAGATTCTGGCAGACAAACCAACTTGTTTTCTTGTAAATCCCTAGAAAAACGAATAACACAGATAAAATGAATTGCGCTAATTTAAGCAAATTATCGTGAACAAGTATACTTAGCCATTGCTAGACAGTACTCAGTTCCTGTAAACAGTCGTTACTCGAAAACTACCAAAGGCAGACGTCTATCTTCTCTTAGTTGGTAAACTGCAGTTACTTTGTTTTCCTTAAAACCATTTATTAAGTTATCGGCCTGTGTCTCTCTACTGTGAAGCTTCTTATCTGCGTAAACACAAAAGCACATTCGCTACAATAGCAGCACAGTCTGAATGAGTGACACGTACAGTATCCATCAACTTTTTGATAATTCTATCTTTCTTGTAGTATTACTAAAAAATCTATGGATCCATTCTAACAGTTGTAGGTATTCATTCGAACAATGAGTAAGCAGGTGAGGTTGTCTTAAATATTTTTTCTGAAAGTTCATTTCAACCTAATTATCATAAATCTCCACTCTTCTAATTAAAAATCATGCATATAGCGAAGATAATGCCTCAGGCTGTAAATAATACTAACAAGCTATGCTATAAAATTCAAGGAAGTCTATTAAAAAGCTTTTCTGAATAAAGGATGAATAAATTAGCTACTTATTACTTTGGAGATGGGAAATGAGCATATAATGTATCACAATACGCCACCAACTTAATGAATTCAAAAAGCATTTTAGTCGTTCAGTCACTTTATGTATGGTCGCATAAAAACCCTGATTGAAGCGTTCATTATGCAAGGTAGCATACTTAATATTGAAATAATTTCCATTTCCTTCATCTGCTTTAAGACTGCTATATGATACTTCCGTCTTCATATACATATATATATGTATATATATATCTTAAAGCAAGACAGCAAAGGACGACTGATGCTCAAAATTATGCGAAAGATTAGTAGCTAGTGTCCAAGAAGAAAACTAACTTCGAATTGAAGTATGCAGTAACGATGTGGCCTAGTAGGACAATGAAAGCTTCGCAAATTAACTATCCAGCTTAGAGAACACAACTACATCAAAAAACTAACTGCTTTTCCCCGAGTGTTGCCATCTGATCGTTGTCTTTTCCCCATCATGCTTCATTATGTTTCCATTACAAATGCTATTAATAAGACTGTGTTCTGTATATTTGTTTATCACTTTGACTTACCACTGAAGAAATACTACTATGAAACCGTTTATCCTTATCTGCTACGCAGATATTATGTCCTAAATTGGTAACTCCAGTGATAAGCGCAAACTGAGATAGTCTCTGAAAGCTCACAGATAACTCTTCTAGATGATGTAATATGTTATTCACATTTGAAATTTTTAGACGACATCGGAACTTTTATTGTTAAAAACAGTCATTGATAACAACAACAAACAAACTGTGAAACCTGTCTTTATTTTTCAGCTGGTTGTCTTCAGCCACCTAACAAAACTATTAAACTGAAAATTATCTCCATGAATACGCTTAATAGTTCAGTTCGTTTTTGTTTTTGTCTGATAACTGTTGTGTCCAGTGTACTAAAATCACTGTTTCAACTAACTAACTAACTATCTAACCAACTAGCTAACTAAATAACTAAATAACTGACTAACTAATTATCTATTGAGACAACTAATCTCTTTACTTACACTTCAGTCTTCGACAAATATAGGTTATCCTACTAAGAAGAATTTTGCTGAATACCGCCTGTTAAACAACAGCGATTTCATTTGAGAAAATAATGGTCATAGAGATTCACTCCCTAAAGAAATAAATCATTGCAAATTTTCACCTACCTCAATAATACTTCAATGCCTATATCAAGTTTAAACCTGTTTTAAACAAAGTTACAGGAGCCTAGTGTGATGCGAATATTCACACAAAGTGTATACTTTGGCTGGAGGTTGAATCTGTTTGTCAGGAGGCGTTACTTATACTTCACTCAGTAAAGAGCTAGACTGGTAAAATCTAGGTCTCTAACTTGAATTCTGCAGTGTGTCAAGTTGTCATCATCATCTGCCCATAGTGGTTTGTAACTACAGTTTTGTTCTTGTCCGAGTCGCACAGTAAAAACTACATTAATTTAATTATGAAGCATTTATTACGAAATGTAATTTCACACAACTATTTCTACTGCTGGTTTGCAGGGATTTAACTGGTTACAGTTTAGGCCAGGAGCTGACATCATTTAGAGAAGCACTTGAAAACCTGAGAGTACTGAACAGTTGTTTCATCCTAGCTTGGGACACATCAGCAGCAAGCACGGATGCAAAGTGAGCTACTGAGACCCGATCCAAGGGCCCACGAATCCTGTATATACATATATATATCACGAATTGGCAGAATCTGGAATACATGGGCCATGGAATCAGGTCCCAGTGTCTCACCTTGTGACCTGAAAGTTTTGGGTTCGAACTCCACTGGGAGCGTACCACTGAGGTGACACAGCATCCTGGTACTTCCAGGTTTTCTAATAGTTCTCCAACCGTTGTCAACTTGTGATCAAACCTATAATTATATCTAACTAGTTGTTAGAATTCATTTTCTCCTGATTATAGTATAAATGCTTGCTTTGACACACAATAACAATTACGGTAGATAGTTCTATATGGATAGTGCAGGATTTTAAAAATTAATTATAGTGCTTAGCAATAAAGGGAGCATAGTAAATGTTAAGTCTTAAACCCATTTAAATTACACAGTTGTCAAAACAAAGCAGCAAATGAAATTGAAATACAACTGATGTATTCAAGCAGGGGTGATCCGACAAGTTACAAATTGTAACTTTCTCGAAACAATCAATTTCTATAAGTAAAGTAAACAAATCATACAGGTTCACTAAGGCATCACAACAGGAAAAGTTCCTAATAAGTGAGATATTCAACTTCTTTTTGGTTCCAGTAATTCATAATTATTGACGGAAGTTTAATTCTACCCTAACCAAGTGATTTAAATAGAATAATTTACCTAGGACTGCTACCCAGTTAGCAAACATATTTCCATAACACCTTAATGTCTTCCTCTTTTTGATAAATCACAGCATGAAATTTTTGCAGCACATATATATTCAATAATACACCGACTCATTTAGCGAATGACTACAATAAACTTTAATGCATATGATAAAGTAGTCAATATAAATGTATCTTTATTAATGTTCGAGTCTAAGTGGAAAAAATAATTTGCAATAAGTCATTTTCAATCATAAATAAACCTTAGCTACAGGACCATAAGATGAGAGGTAAACACTGCTGAACAGCTGTTTCATTGTACAACTATCAAATTCACACAAATGTCTTCAATTTCATTTTACCTTTATTATGTAAGCCTTGGTTGTTATCTTGTTCATTAATTATACAAATACTAACTAAATCAAACAAAGGATTTCAAAATATCATATATGATGAATGGTGTGATGTTGGTTAGTTTTCGTGAAAACTCCACGCATCAGGCTGATCTCATTTCCTCATTCATGCCACTCTCCATCATGCATAAACTGAAGTATTCTTCAGCAGTTCTAATTCCCTTAAGTTGAATCTGATAAAGAAGCTGTCGCTTACATAACAAAATGTTCAACAAATTCTTGTTTCATTTTTCTAGACGTACTGAGATTATTTTAAGTAATATTATAATGGCCTTATATTTTTGTTACGTTAAATCCATATAAGGTTTCAGTGATCACACGTATGTCATTGTTTTTTTTTTCATTAATGACTCACGTAGGTAGATACTTTTAGCCTATTTTTGTTTCTGACTGATGGTTCTTTTTATTTTATGAAAAGTGCGTCGGTGGCACAGTGGTTAGGACTCTCGCCGACCATGCACATGGTCCGGGGTTCAATCCCCTGCCGGCGCACACCCGATATCTACGGTCGGCCTGAATTCGGGCTACCGATATCCATGCTGAAAATTCCATACTTGTACTGAAAATACGGTGTGGAATCAAGCTGTAAATCAAAATAAAATAAACCCTGAAGTTTGATAGATCGTAGTGAAATAGACCTACGTTACTTGTGTGTCAGTTTTCATTTAAATAGTTTGACATTGTCACGGGTTTTGTAGAATGAAAATGTATTGAGTTACTACAATAGGACGATGATAGGAACCATCTTCAAGTTATCAAGACATTAACTTAAATAGCACTCCATCGCTTTGCTATATGTGTATAGAGCAATGACAGAAGCATAACTGAAAACTTGAGTCACAAAAGGACTGAGAGCAGTCCTATCATGCTACAGCTAATATTTTAATTTCCATAACAAAGGATATCATCTTGTCAACCTACAGTTATCCCAAACCGTCTGAATGGTAAATAAATGCAGATTATAGTGCAGTTGCGTCGTTAGCACACAATATACTGAACATTAAACTTCAGCTTTCATTTAAGTTAGGAACACAATCTGAAACTTTGTGTTCATATTCAAAACTCACTGGAAAAATTAAATTTAAGTTATTCATTTCGGTTATTCATAGTCATATGGCTAAGCATAAAAACGTCCATTTTTTGCCAGAATATGACTAGTTCGAAAGTTGTCTTTCTAATACATGCACATGATGCTAAATTGTAAGTAACGCCTTCGGCCTGCAGGAATTATAATTGTTTTTCGGAATTCAAGCCTTCATTATTCAGATTCTAAATCAGCAACTTTAGCATACTCTGGTGGATGTTTTACTGCAGCTATAAGCACAACAACAAAAGTAGTGCCAATTTTTTGATTCAAGTTTTGATTTAAAAAATTGGAGAAAGTATAAACTAGAAAAAGGGAAATAATCCTTCAACAAAACAAAAACAATCCAAACAGTAATAGCACTGTCGGAATGATATTTAATTTTAATTCTAATTCATTATATATTTTTGTTAATTAAAATCCTCATCGTAACATTTTTCCCACTCTGGAAAATTTAATTTCTCACAAAAACACACCTCCTACAGAGCAGACAACTTCAGGTGCTCAGTTTAAATCCGACTATCGTGTATTGTTTTTTCATTAACACTATATTATTTTCTCATAGAAGAACAAGGAAACCTG